GCCATAAAACAAGCAAAAAACAATACAAACCTAAGCTAAAATAGGGGTTAAAACAATTGGCTAAAATCAGGCTCTCTGGCCTGCTCTTCCTTTCCTCATGGCCACGGCTTGGATCGCCAGACCACGCGGCTTTTGCCTCCCCTGTGTCTGTCGCCATGCCTTCTTCTCCGCTTCTCTTCCTCCTCTTCCCTCTCCCCATTGCACACACACGCAACATGCATAAAAGATCTAAAAACATAAAATCTTATTCAAACCCACCTCATTTGCACCCACCGACATCTTATCGTTTACGGACATTGATCTCACTATGGACCAATGGCTTTTGCTTTAATATTGCATTTCCTGTGTTATAATTGATTGTTGGTCTAACCTGTTTTTGATAAATCAACAATGTTGTTGAATTCTCCGAGACGACTGCTGCTGTGAAACTGTGTGATATTTTAGACTGTCTGAAGTGAGAAAGCCAAAAAATACCACATTTGGGGAAATTCTGCATTTTCACAGCGGTAAAAGCCACTCAAGTTTTGGAGCCATGAGCATAAATTGTTAAATGAATATTAAAGGAAGGGGGGTATTCATAATGCTAAGGGGTTTGAGTGCAGTGGGTTTGTATCGCAATTCAAGATAAAACCAGGATTTGATTTAAGTTTGGAACTGGACAAATAAGGAATAAGCCACCTGGGGGAAAAGCCATCTAAATTAATGCCATCTGGATAGTCTATTGTCATCGCATAAACCCCCAATACAATCATTAGTCAATTAGAGAAAACTCAACAGAGGTTTATTAGGATCCTATTGTCACCAAATGTACAATACTGTTAAACTGATGGTGTCAGTTTCAGAAAATCGTTCGAATTTGGAAAGACTCAGACAAAAGGATGTATTAGAATGTATACATAATGTATTTACCACTTAAGTATAATTCAGAGACCTCAAAGATAGAGGTTATGAAAATGTATTTCCCTGAGGTCTAGACCCTGGTAGGGATGAAAGTTAAAATGAAGATCTGATTATATAGAGTCTGGAGAGAAGGTTCTACTTCTGGAGCAGGGTTTCTGATGTTTGGAGGCACAGGTAGAAGGTGGGACACAGGATAATCTTCCAGTCTTAACTTTCACTCAACCTTGATTTTAATAAACTAAAAAGGCAATTGTATCGAGGAACCCTTTATTCCAATCCCTCAAACACATTCTACAGACTAACCCTAACCCTGTGCCTTTAGCCCAACAATTCTGATGGAAGGTTTATGGCAGCTGTTATCTGTTATTATGCTGTATTCTATTCTATTATTATTTTAGACAATGTTTCTTTCAGATATTTCTGTCTAAATGTTATTTGCTCATAATTTGTTTTTGTTTTTATTATGTATAGAAATGTTTGGAATGACTTCAGGTTGTAATTTGTTTTTTTCCTTTGGGAACAAAAGGACATATCCTGGGACTATACTGTAAAAGAAGGACTGATGTAATGTCAGTACTTTTCTCCTTCTTCTCATGAAATAAACAAAAATCTGTAGTCAGAGAAAACTCCTTTAGAGACTCATGACCTGACCCTTTTGAAATAGTAGTGAAGCAGCTCCTGAATTTTTTAACAAGCTTTTTATTTTTATAAGGTTTAAAACAGAACATTCCCTCTCTACCGTGGCTATGGACAGAAATGCATTAATCTGGTTCCGGCCTGAACGATTGCACGGCATCATTTATCATTTCATTTTTGATTTGAAGCTTGTTTCATGGAGATGGCTCAATCATTTGCCATTTATCCAGCCATTTCAGGCAAAAAAAACATCGCACGCTCAATGTTTTGTAGCCTTTCACAAAAAAAGGTCTGATGAAGGGTTTGCCATCTGATTAGGCAAGGCAAGTTTAATTGATTAGCACAGTTCATACACAAGGCAACCCAAAAAGATGATCAAAATAAGACAACAAAATCAAAAATCCTTCAAGGCCGTATCACAATTTCTCTTGATTAGATTAGTTTCCACAGTACGATATCACATCTATTGGGAATCTGCGTAAAACTAACACAACAAGGGCCGCTTAATATGTTATGTGATTAGCATTTGCATGTTATTTCTGCATTAGCATCTAAACTGTAATCACTCATTTATCATAATTTATCATAGTTTATCATTGATTAACTTCACAGGTGGTTGGCTGTTTATTAACTAATTCCATGATCTTGAGATGCACTGGGATAATACTGCTGACAAAAGAACACAGGGTGAGCATTATGACGCTATGGGATGGGCATGTTAAGATGATCGGAATGTCTCTGGCCTTTGTGCTGTTGATAATACCACATTGTGAAGCTTTTCTTGATTGGTTGGTGATGCTCGCTGTAGGTCGTCACTTGAATACCATATCGTGGAAAGCGTTAACATTTCCATGAAGACCAGCGCATATAGGGAGCTTCAGAAGTCTAACCTTTATGACGGCCCCAACCATTATCTACTCAACCGAAAAAGCATGATTCGTCCAAAGCTTGTATCTTATTGTGTTTGATCTTATATGTGCATGTTTTTTATGTGAATGATGTAAAATACTAAGCTATTCAATTGAAAGTCAAGGATGTAAGTAGTTGTATTCATAATTATTTATTATATAATAAAAATGTTATTTTAACATGTTATGGGGGTGATTGGGAAGAACGGCCTGCCCGGTCTGAACCCGAGCGGTGTTCAGTTGTTGGACTTCTGTGCCAGTCACAGTTTGTCCATCACGAACACCATGTTCGAGCACAAGGGTGTCCACCAGTGCACGTGGCACCAGGACACCCTAGGCCGGAGGTCGATGATCGACTTTGTTGTCGTATCATCTGACCTTCGACCGCGTGTCTCGGACACTCGGGTGAAGAGAGGGGCGGAGCTGTCAACCGATCATCACCTGGTCATGAGTTGGATCCGCTGGCAGGGGAAGAAGCCGGTCAGACCTGGCAGACCCAAGCGTGTAGTGAGGGTCTGCTGGGAACGTCTCGCTGAGCCCCCTGTCAGGCGGACTTTCAACTCCCACCTCCGGGAGAGCTTCTCCCAGGTCCCGGCGGAGGAGGGGGATATTGAGTCCGAGTGGACCATGTTCTCTTCCTCTATCGCCGATGCGGCGGCTCGTAGCTGTGGTTGCAGGGTCTCTGGTGCTGGTCCCGGCGGCAATCCCCGAACCCGGTGGTGGACACCGGCAGTAAGGGATGCTGTCAGGCTGAAGAAGGGGTCCTATCGAGCAATGATGGTTCATGGGACTCCTGAGGCAGCTGTCCAGTACCGGCAGGCCAAACGTGCCGCGGCCCGGGCTGTTGCAGAGGCAAAAACCCGGGACTGGGAGGAGTTCGGAGAGTCCATGGAGATCTCGGGGTCTTGTTCACGAGTGAGGGAAGGATGGAGCGTGAGATTGACAGGCGGATCGGTGCAGCGTGCGTAGTGATGCAGTCGCTGTATCGGACCGTTGTGGTGAAGAGGGAGCTGAGCCGAAAGGCAAAGCTCTCGATTTACCGGTCAATCTTTGTTCCCTCCCTCACCTATGGTCATGAGCTGTGGGTAATGACCGAAAGAACAAGATCGCGGATACAAGCGGTCGAAATGAGCTTCCTCCGCAGAGTGGCTGGGCGCTCCCTTAGAGATAGGGTGAGGAGCTCAGTCACACGGGAGGAGCTCGGAGTAGAGCCGCTGCTTCTTCACGTCGAGAGGAACCAGTTGAGGTGGCTCGGGCATCTGTTCCGGATGCCTCCTGGACGCCTTCCTGGGGAGGTGTTCCGGGCACGTCCCACCGGGAGGAGGCCCCGGGGAAGATCCAGGACACGCTGGAGGGACAATGTCTCTCAGCTGGCCTGGGAACGCCTTGGGGTCCCCCCAGACGAGCTGGAGGAAGTGTGTGTGGATAGGGAAGTCTGGGCGTCTCTGCTTAGACTGCTGCCCCCGCGACCCGGCAACGGATGAAGCGGAAGAAGATGGATGGATGGATAAAAATGTTTATGCTGTGTGTTAATTTTAGATTAACCCCTTAATGGTTTCCTCAAACATTTGGTAGATCACCTTTTTAGTCAATATATTTACTTTAGAACAGAAATATACCTCTTTGTGGCTCCTCAGTTGGTTTTATGTGAGATGCCCTAAAACCAAGTGAGATGCATATAAAAATATTTGTGTGTGTTATTAGTGCTCCTACACATAAAAATATGCATTGCTCTCACCAAGAAGTGAATGTTAAAGGGAAGTAAGTACATTTATTTATACATCCTTGTAAACCAATGGTAAGCTGAACTGAGCATTTTCTAGTCAAAGTCAGAACAGAAAGAGAATTTTGAATAAGCTGTAGTTCGAATGCTTTGAAGAGGAAGACTTAAGAAAAGAGAGTGTCATCATCATCATCATCATCATTATCACCTGTAAATAGAACTCCTTGATATAAAGCATTCTGTGTATCCTATTAATCTTGCACTAAAAAAGCTTTTCTTTTACTTTTTCTGAGAAGAAATACAATTAAGATTTCTATAACAAGTCAAGATGCAACACAATTTTGTAAGAGGTCAGAAACCTGTGTCCATCCACCGAGCAGTGACAGGGGAGACTGCGCACATGCACTGGACCGCAGTTTTATATTGGATTACAGCATGAAGGTTTTAATATTCTTTAGGTTAGGCAAGTACTGACTTTGGTATCAATCTCCACGTGGAAATAAATTAGTTAATTCCTCAAATGTACTGGCCCGCTTTTGAGAGGATGCAGGGCAGAGTTTTAGTGCCCTCTTGCGTTAATTTCAGGAAGAGAAAAAAATTATTTGCTAGCGTTGAGGAGATGCTTAGTGCTATAACTTGATTCACATTTAAAGTGGATAGAATTGTTGAATGTGTTTTATGTCTGATTGTTCGATGCTTGACTACAAGCGGGACCAATGTTGAAAATATGAGAGCATCTAAAGCTGTATCATGTTCCTGTTAGAACCAGCTGCTGACACGTTGTCTGGACCGACAGTCTATACTCATACTGTAATGACGGAACCATAGGCTGTTCATATGCAGGATGTGTCGGGTTGTGTGGAGGAGCAGGACGGGTTGTGCAGATCGTCAGGGCATCTTCTTCGCAGCGGTGGTGTAGCGCGCCTGCGCAGTGCATCCCGGGGCTCGGCGGTGTTCGGTGCTGAAGTGGGGCGGATGGCTGAAAAACAGCAGCGATGGACATTAAACCAAGGGAATACCATCCACTATGTCGTTAAAGGAGCATCGGGCCGTCACATGTCACCAGCTCTCCGTGTAGCACACTGACAGGCCGCCCACAGGGTAAGACTCAGGAGGCTAGCTGTGGTTAGCTCAGCGCTAGCTCCTGCTGCCTCCGCCTCCTCTGCGCTCACACATAACGGACCCGGGGCCTGAACTCGCCCCAACACAGTGAGTGCTGATGGCTTTTGTGTCGTGTGGCTGTCACTGCGAGTGACAGGGGGTCCTGTTTGCCTGTGTGCGCCTGTAAGCGCCTGGACAGGACAGGGCTCCGGCTCCTGCTCCGTGTGTCCTCCAGCTGCAGGACAGGAGGACGGGCTGTGGGCTGAGGGTCCGAGCCGCCCCTCTGCACAGGCCCAGACCCAGGCTGCGACACTGTCCACGGGGTAGATCACCTGTGCTCCCCGTGGACAGGGGTCCTCTGTCCGCTGTGAGCAGTGATGTGATGATCATCATGTGTCTGCTCCTGCTCTGGACTGTGAGTCATTCTGCTTATGCCACCACATCCTCACACACTTCCTTATTCCAGAAGTTGGCCATCCGCACCGCGACCACTGCCACTTTAGGGACTTACGTCTCCGAAACAATAAACGTTGGTGATAGCTTCTCTAATACTTTGAAAGACTTTCTGACAGCATGTTTTTATTTTCTAAAACGTATTTTTTTAAAGGGGTAGAACAAATGAAATTGAAAAAAAATAATTGAAATCAGTTTCCTTTTGTTGATTTCATATTTGTGTTCTCTCAACATTTCAATACTGACAAACAATGTTGATACTGGATTTCTTTTTACTGCAGATGACATGCCACAGAAAAAAAAAAATGATCCATAATTGAGCCATGTCTTCCTTCTTCTTTTCTAGATGTTGTACGTTTACTGCCCCATCTTTAATTGACCCATTCACCAAATTATTGAAGTCAGGAAGGAAACGGTGGAGGCAAAGACGTACCAAGGAACGGGGAGCCCAAAAGAGAAATGGTTGTTGTTCAGTCCAGCTCTTGAGTCTTTGCTGAAGTCATTCAGGGATGGTGAATCCAGGCAGCAACCTCTGTTCTCTGAGCTCAAATCGACCCCATTGCTTCATTTACAGCCAGTGCCATAGCCAAAAATACAGTCACTTCGATCATCATCCAGCGACAAGTTACCTCAGTGCCATGACTCCTTTGTCTCCACTGGTTTTAGAAAATAAATAATTCATGGTAAGTTTATTTTAAGTTGAACTTTGGGAACTTGTGTTGTTTTAGAGTGTGTTCATTGTGCTTGCTGTGTGTCCTGGTCCAGCACATTTAAACATATCTGTTATCTGGATGTGTTGCAATTTTCTATTTAGACCTCTATCTCTACATTGATGGAAATATTGTTGTTTGCATCAAACCTGTTTCTCCACATCCACTGACTTCACACTAACTAACTAAGACCTACTTTGGCAAAGTATTTGCATATCAGCCGGTCAGTGTAACAAACATGCAAGAAAACATGTTCATATAAAAGCATTAGAGGCATCTGTTGAGTTACTATAGTGTGGATATACCTGTAGTGAGCCATGACTTTACAGGTAAGAGTTTTTTGTCTTTAAGTAATAACATAGATCACACTGTAAGATAGTGATCATCTCTAAAAGAGGTGTCACACTTTTACTGTAACGTGGAGTTGGCCTCGGTTGCCTTCCAACCTAACAGTGTGGCTGATGACAGAATACTAAAGTCTTCAATGAGTTGTAACTATAAGAAGTTTATTTTTTGTAGTGATTATATTAAACATTCTATATTTTACTACTTAAGCCACTACTTTTTTTGAACCAGGTTTTTGAAGATGAAGCAATTATTTACTTTGGCACAGCTAAGGTGGTTCACCCGCAAAGCCTCTAAATGCCAAGGAAACCAAGAGAACGATAGGGGCAACATACTGTATGAATGTTGACACCACAGGGTGAACACTTATATACTCTAGGCTATTCTTTTTTTAAAAGCCAGATCTGTTATAATGCCATACTAATAACTTTTCACCCCTTCTTGAGCAAATCCTTTCAAATGTACAGCCAATAACAACACGTTTTGAAGATTGTAGCTTATGAAGAATACACCTTTTTGATACATTTTCATTTTTAAAACTCAGATTTCTGTTTTTGCTCTTCATTTGGGAACGTCTACTTTTAAAATCCTATCGTTAAAGGCAGACTACCCACAATGAGCTGCGGTGTGCTCTTAATATACCAGTGGCTTTAATTGTTTCTCGGGCTGAGGTCAATGATGTTTTTCAGAAACTGGTGTAGGGGTCTAGGGACTGGTAACTCATAACTAAAGCTCATGTAGCTGTTATTTGGGTAAAGTGACAATTTCAAAAGGGATATAGATACAATAATACAGTCCTGAAAAACGTGGTCCTCGAGACCGTGGGTATATAATTATTTTTCAATGGTATATACTACGCTAGGAGTGAAGTCAACAAAGTTGAAAGTCATATTTGGATTAAAAGAAAAAAATATTTTTATCTCAACTGTTTTACGTGCATAATATTTAAGTCTGTCACAGTAAAGCGAGGGTGCATTAATAAGATATAACTTCATCTGTTTTTAGACACTCGTTTGCTCCTCTTCAGCCCCTCACTGTTACTTACGCATTATTGACTTAAAATTAGGTGTTTCAAAACTTGATTGTAATTTTTACTCGTTTTTGTTTTTTGTCGCTTTGGCTTTTTCCTATCCATTCATTTATTTATTTATCTGCTTTATGGATAATGTTAATTTCATAATCTGTTGCATATTTTATTATCAATATTACTTTTTGTTATGTAGTACTGGGACTTAAAGCTCTCATTGGAACAGAAAAGTGCTTGGATAATGAGGAATTTGTTTATTAGTGGTGCCTTTGTATGTATTCATGTCTGTATGCATAGAGGCTGTTTGTTTGTGTGCGTTTTCAGCCCTTGAAATGCATGTTTGGTGTGCTCTGTCTGTCAAACTTGCCAAGTGAAAAAGTCTGGCCTACTGCCAAAAGCCTTCACCGTACAAGGAAGGGAATCCTCTGTGTCTTACTTGAGTGCACTCCATCCCCCTCTCTCCAGAACAATCACTTTGGCTATTCTTTTACGCACACAATTCCTGTGCCTTTAAGTCCCTGATAAAGTACATTATGGACAATTGCATGTTTTTAGCTGGATTCAATATCATCACATTAACATTTTTGTTTTTCTCATTTTGATTAAAAAAAATAGTTTTTAGTGTCTGTAATATGTGTTGTGTGCGTCCACAGCCCCGCAGTGTGAGTGGTGTGGAGATGAGAAAAAGGCAGGCGGCCCACATCGAGGCCCCAGCTCCGGCCCCTGGACATCCAAGACCCAACACCTGCTGCTTGTGCTGGTGTGGCTGCTGCAAGTGTCTGTGGTAAGAACATGCTGTGATATCCACTGACCTCCCAAGGAAACTTAAAACACTCTAAACAAAGTGCCCGTTTGTTACCTTCATGTTCTGACGAGGTTTCATGTTCCAGACAGAAAAAAAACCTTTGCTTACGCCACCAAAATCCTAACAATTAACCTGTCACTAAATGTGAATTAATTATATTACTGACACTCTGCTTGTAAACATGAATACACTTAACTCTAGATTCATTCATGCGATGTTTTTATTTATAAGGCACGATAGTTTTCTATAGTTTGGTAGATTCAGTGATTATCTCATGACTAATGGATTTGTATACAATTTGAATATTGGATATACCTCCTGTGGAGGTGCGTGGCAGCAGCAGGTCTCTACAGAGCGCACTCCTCCAACAGTTGAGTGAGACTCTTTGTATAGAGAGGACGATCTGTGGGGGGAACTTTCGTTGGGGGAACTTTGAATCCTCTGAACTCAGCCTTTCACCAAACCCTAACCCACAACAATCCAACTCCCTTCTTTGAGAAAAGAATCACACTCAGCAGGTTTATTCAGAAGAGAGAAAGTCTACTTTTTGTTATGCTGTACATTTAGATTGTGTGAAATGAAAAATTGTCTCTTCACAAATGGAGTGTAGAGCCTGACAAGTCACACTGTCTCAAGTGGAAGCTCTGCCCTTGAGCAAGGCACTGAAAGCAGCATGCCCTGTGCAGCACATCCCATCGCCTCTCTCTTTGGCTGCTCCTGAGTCGGGACTGAAAGAAAACATTGTGTTCACTCAGTGAATGGTGAATGTGCCTCTTCTTTCACAGTACTTAATCTGAAGTAGTGGCAGCTTGTGGACCGAACAGGCAGTGAGTGGTCTGGGATGCTTCATCCCAATCGCCTTGAAAATAGCTTTTCTTTGCTTAATTAGTATTATGAACATGGATAATATAATGCTCTGTTTTGTGAACTCAAATCGTGTATTTCTACTTCAAGGTTAATTAAATATAATACTCTGAATGCTTAATCAGACTGGGGACGACAGATGTGTTCTAATCTGTGGAAAGTAAGAAACAATAGTGGATGAGATCTTGAGCTGTTATAGTGAGACTCATTTTAAACTGTATTTTTCTCCTCATTGTTACTTCTAATCTCTCCTCATACTCTTCAACCCATCCTCATTTGTTGGACTTATCTGGTCTGGGAGATTTCTATTTCCATCCACACATCACATGCAAAACAGCTGTGAAGAACAGCCTGTATATTTAGCTGTATTGTGAGGGCACCCAGAGGCTGGGGCTAGCTTAGCCAATTACTGGTGCACAATGAGGACTTTGACAAGAGGCCGAGAGAGGAAGGAAAGATCCTCCATGGTGGGACAAAAATAGACAACTGCATGTGTATTTTATTGTAGTTGAGAGGGGGCACTGTGTGTGTGTGAGTATACATGAATCCTTTAACAGAGCCTCTGTTCACTTTGAATTGGAGGCACTGAGAGGACCACAGGGTCAGTGTGATGAGGTCCACGATGAGGTCCACAGGGTCAGTGTGATGAGGTCCACGATGAGGTCCACAGGGTCAGTGTGATGAGGTCCACAGGGTCAGTGTGATGAGGTCCACAGGGTACAATACACAATACAATACAATTTATTCTTGTATAGCCCTAGGTCACAACAGAAGTCATCTCAGAGGACTTAACAAAACCATTGAAATCACCAACACAGGTCAGAGAATCAACAGTTAAAACACATGAAGAATATAAAGCACACACAGAAGAAAATGTCCATACATGTTGTAGAATGCTAAAGTGTCCTGATCATCACCAATCCTTTCTGTTGGACACTAACTGTCCAACAAGACCCTCCTGCATCGACAAGGAAAAACTCTTAAAAAACCCAGTGGGAAAAAGTGAGAAACCTTGGGGAGCACTAGGGAAACCCACAGGGAGGGAGACCCATATGAGAAAGGGATCCGCTCCTCCGGACGGACAGGCTAATGATCTAGGACCTAAGCTAGCTACAGGACGTGGACCAGTGGCCGCTGAACGTGGACAGGTCCAGTGCAGGACCGAAGCACTCCCAGGCGGGTCGGGCGGGGCAGTCCGCAGGTGCAGATGGAGGAGGCCAGGCTCAGAGATCCCGTCATCGTACCATGAAACAGACAATGGGACAACGGGTGAATAGCAATGAACAAACTACAGTCAGAATCCTAAAAGTGCTAAACAGATAAAGTAGATAAAGTAGGAAGGAGGAGAGGATAGTGCTCAAGTTTCCATACTTCTCCCAGCAAACTGACTCCCTATGCAGCTTGACTGACACTCTGAGGAGTTTAGCCTTCCCCGAGTCTTACCTTCCTAGCCATATACTAAACTAAAGAGGACTGTTTTAAACCTAGCCTTGAATAAAGAGATTCATGGATTGCACACCAGGTGTGCAAACCGATCCAAGCAAACCTAATTATATATTATATATCATATACATCATATATACCATACATACCATATATATCATAAATAATACACAACATAACATACAGCATAATATATAACATAATATACAACATAACACAATACATTATTGTATAATATATAACATAATATATAACATAATACTGCATACATATATAATATATACATATATTATATATTACCTAATTATATGCTAAATTAAAGTAAAGTGCTTTAAGCCTGGCCTTGAATGTGGAGACCGTATCTGCTTCCTTAACATAAATGGGAAGCTGATTCCACAGTAAAGGAGCTTGGTAGCTAAATGCTCTGCCACCAACAGTGATTTTTGAGACCTTAGGGACTACCAGACGTCTGGCGTTTTGTGAGCGCAACGCTCGACTTGGTTGATACGACACTAACGTGTCTTGGAGATAAGAAGGAGCCAAGCCATTTATGGCTTTATATGTTAAGAGAAGGATTTTAAACTTTATTCTGTACTCCACAGGGAGCCAGTGGAGTGATTTTAACACCGGAGTTATGTGCTCCCTCCTTTTGGTACCTGTTAAGATCCTATCTGCTGTATTCTGAACGAGCTGGAAGCTCTTCAAAGACGCTTTAGGGCACGCTGCCAGTAAAGCGTTACAGTAGTCGAGCCTTGAGGTGACAAACGCGTGAATGAGTTTTTCCGCGTCACTTTTAGGAAGGAAATTCCTAATTTTAGCGATGTTCCGTAGGTGGAAGTACGCCGTTTTAGTTGCTTGGCTTATATAAGCCTTGAAGAAGAGCTCTGGGTCAAAAATGACTCCAAGATTCCTCACAGTGTCACTGGGTACAATACTGACACCATCGAGAGTAATTATCTGGTTAGTGAGGGAGTCACGCAGGCGCTTCGGACCGAGTAGGATCACTTCTGTCTTCTCCGGGTTGAGAAGTAGGAAGTTAAGAGTCATACACATTTTAAGGTCCTTTATGCAGCACTGAGCTTTTCCAGCTGATCTGTCTGATTTGGCTTCATCGACAGATAAAGCTGTGTGTCATCTGCATAGCAGTGGAAATTAATTCCATGCTTTTTAATAATGTTTCCTAATGGCAGCATGTAGAGAGTAAAAAGAATCGGTCCGAGTACCGAACCCTGCGGCACACCGAATTCTACTCCAGAATAAGGTGACGAGTTCTGATTTACGTTGACGAAGTGATACCGATCTGATAAATAGGATTTAAACCAGCCAAGGGCTGTTCCTCTAAGACCTATATCACATTCTAGCCTCTGCAGTAGAATGCTGTGGTCTATTGTGTCAAATGCAGCACTAAGGTCCAGTAGGACCAGCACTGACACTTGTCCATTATCAGCAGCTAGTAGTAAGTCATTTGTGACTTTGACTAGTGCCGTTTCAGTGCTATGATGAGCTCTGAATCCTGATTGAAAGACTTCAAACATATTATTTTCCTGCAGGTGGCAGCGAAGCTGCTCAGCTATAAGTTTTTCCAGGATTTTAGATATAAAAGTGAGGTTTGAGATCGGTCTGTAGTTTGTAAGTATTTCTGGGTCCAGGTTTGTTTTCTTCAGAAGGGGTTTGATAACCGCGGTTTTAAAAGCTTGTGGGACATAGCCACATTGTATGGATGCGTTTATTATCAGTGTGATGAGGTCCACAGGGTCAGTGTGATGAGGACCACAGGGTCAGTGTGATGAGGACCACAGGGTCAGTGTGATGAGGACCACAGGGTCAGTGTGATGAGGTCCACAGGGTCAGTGTGATGAGGTCCACAGGGTCAGTGTGATGAGGACCACAGGGTCAGTGTGATGAGGACCACAGGGTCAGTGTGATGAGGACCACAGGGTCAGTGTGATGAGGTCCACAGGGTCAGTGTGATGAGGTCCACAGGGTCAGTGTGATGAGGTCCACAGGGTCAGTGTGATGAGGTTCACAGGGTCAGTGTGATGAGGTCCACAGGGTCAGTGTGATGAGGACCACAGGGTCAGTGTGATGAGGTCCACAGGGTCAGTGTGATGAGGACCACAGGGTCAGTGTGATGAGGTCCACAGGGTCAGTGTGATGAGGTCCACAGGGTCAGTGTGATGAGGTCCACAGGGTCAGTGTGATGAGGTCCACAGGGTCAGTGTGATGAGGACCATGTTGTTTCTTTAGGTACAGATCAGTTTGAGGTTATTCACATTTTTCCAAAACCTTTTGATGTTTCAAATTCAATGCATATTTTCCTTCAGAACATGATCTCTATCATCTCTGTGTTATGTATTATTTTCAAATGTAGTCCATAACCAAGGAGAAATATGTTTAGTACATACAAAAACAAGTTAAAAAAGACAAAAACAAAAAAACATTTATCTTTATTTCTTTCAGGAATGAGGACCGGATGGAACGAGGTGAACGCCAAACCTGTAAAATGGACAGTATTGAGGCTGGTGATGAACAGTAAGTTTATACAATTCACTCCTGCACATGAGTAAAGTCTACTTTATTGTGGCTCCGTCTTGCATGCGAAAGCTAAATCCTCCTTGTGAGGGAGTGTAGCATGTGTGGTCCAAGTGGCAGAAGAACGAATACGAAGGCCCAAAACTTGTAACAAAAGGTGAAGATTTATTTACAGTGCTCCCAAAATGGACAGGTTATTTCTCCAAAGAGAACATGGAGAGTGAATCTCCCTTTTCCCCAGAACAGCCAGCACACCTGGCATATATAGATGGCCTCAATTGATTGGCTTCTCCCACTCAGCTGGAATATGCTTTAATACACAACTATATATCTGTAAACATAAACAATGAACAATTACTGCACAGACAGTAACATAGCATAAACACCAACATTAAACCCCTAAACCAGGTTAATTGGTAAACCCCTCCTATAAATGGGCGGAGCTAGAGAGAGGTCTCACTCCGTCCTATGGGTTTAAAACCAGTAAATGCTCTGCGGCCCTCCCCTTTAATCTGGTGCTGCATGGAGCAGGTATGTGAGAAGCAGAGTTCTTCCCTTTAAACACATGAATAAACAGGTTTTAAGCGTACAATAGTGTTTGGTGTTTTAAGTTAACTGCTGTAAAATGTATGAATGTCTGCATTCATACATTCCATATACTCACTCATTCACATGAATGTATGCGTAAAAAAAATCTGTATGCGTATCCAGATTTGTATGTGTGTAGAAAAAATATTTGTGCGTGTGTAAATATATCTGTATGTGCGTAACAAGATTTACGTGTGCGTAACTAGATCTGTGTGTGTGTAAAAAAAATAAAAAAGTACGTTCTACACACAAGTCTTTTTTTTACACACAGATCTTTTGACGCAGTCCTGCCTTGGCAGATTCCCTAGCGTAACTTGGACTGTGTGCGTGTGTACCCAGACTTGTGTGTGTGTGTAATTTGACATTTGTATCTGTAACAGAACAATCTGTGTGTAAATAACCACGTTGTACGATGAGAACGTAAAAAAGCCTAAGAGCTACGCGCAGGCTGTTTTACACACACAACCATTGACACATAACTTGCGCCAGGAGTGTCTCAAAAGAGATACGTAAGTGTAATGTGGTCGTAAATGATTGGTGGTGGTGGGAGGGGTCCATGGCACCTACTGATTGCCTCGCTTCTGTCAATGTGCCCCAGGGCAGCTGTGGCTAGAGTAGGAGTTCATCACCACTGTGTATGGAGTGAAAGAATAATGTCATGTGATTGTCTAAAAGCGCTATGTGAAAAGATGTATTGATGTGTTATTACTTCTCATGCATCGTTGTTTTGTGTGTTCTACTTGTGTAATAATAGACACCCCACTTTGGACGAGGTGCTGTCGTGGGCCCGGAGCTTTGAGCTATTGCTTCGATCTTTAGAAGGCCGAGAGGTGTTTCGCGGGTTCTTGCGCTCTGAGTACAGTGAGGACAACCTGCTCTTTTGGTTAGCCTGCGATGAACTGAAGACAGAGGCCAATCCAACAACAGTGGAAGAGAAGGCCAGAATCATATATGAAGATTATGTGTCCATACTATCACCCAAAGAGGTAGGGATTAACTGATTCATATCGCGGTTGTGATGTGATTTACAATGTATGTTTAAAAAATAAGCATGTATAAATCAACTTTCCTGTTGTGTTAAATTTGTAAAAGTACAATACATTAACACATTGTCTTTGTTGTTTAGCCTTAAAAATAAGAATACATTTAAAAAAAGATCAACACTAGTGAAGAACTGCTTGATTTAAGAAGAAAGATGAAGCATTATTTTGGTCATTGAATATGATTGAGACTTTATTTTTTATGTAATTTCATTTTTCATTATGTAAAATAATTTGTTAGTATCTTATCTAGAAATTATATAGAGAAACATGTATGAAGGGTAAGAAAAAACTCCCTTTAGTTTAATGTACTAATTTGACAATGACCTATTTGTGATCTATCTATCCATCCATCCATTTTCTTCCACTTAATCCATTTCTGGGTTGGGGAGGTGGCAGTCAGAGCTACCATCCAATTCACATAGCACCTGCCCAGAAGTAGTTTTGAGAAATTGCCAAAACTAATTTATGGGCACTACCCATGTTTCAACTGGCAAGAACTGCTCTGAGCGTGATGTCATCTTGGTTCAATGACATCATACTGAGACTGGAGCATTTAGATAGAAGGGGCGGAGTTACATGTTTGGGCCCTGATATTAGTGTGGATGGATCTAAAAACAACACCAGGTCTGTATTTGATTTGGAAACGCTGTTGTAACATGGTTAAAAGCTTAAAATTGAGTTTTGTCATAATTGATATTGTCATGAAGCAGAAGGGCCAATGGAAGCTGGAACAAGCATAAAGAAACAATTTCTCACTAGGGAAAAACTGCAACTGTGCTTAAAATAATATTAAAAATACTTGTTTCATTGGCAAATACTCATTTAAGGCTAATTACAATTAAAATCTAAATAATTATTCTTTAAAGCTCATGAACAATACATTACTATACATTTTTAATTCTTCATCTTATTATAAAATGTTTGCATGCTTGTAAGTGGTTTGAAAGTCAGGTATCCCAGCTTTAATGTGAACAATGTTAGAGTATAGTCTTTGTATGCAGTGTGTTAGTCTTTGTTTGTTTTGGGGCAGTACTTGCTTATTGCATCCTCTATAAATTTTGACTCTACTGTGATGAACGTTTACTAGAAATGTAGGTAACGAGGTTGTTTTTCCATGAGTTGCATTGGTCATTGCTGTATGTGTCTCAAACTCTCCTTGTGTCTTATTCCCAAGGTGAGCCTGGATTCTCGGGTCAGAGAAGGCATCAACCAGAGCCTCGCTGAGCCCAGTAACCTGATGTACGAGGAGGCCCAGCTGCAGATCTACACCCTGATGCACCGCGACTCCTACCCTCGCTTCCTCAACTCCTCCGTTTACAGAGACCTCCTGGCCAACAGGCGGCGCACTTGCCTCGACACCTAAGCACTCCTCTATTGCCATTCTATACCAACGATTATTACTACTTTAAACTTTGAATACTACTATGGTGCCAGAAGTCACGTTTGAAGAAACCTTTGCCTGGTTTGAGGTTAAAGAGACTGAATGACATCCAAAATAGCGAGTTGTTTTTTATTTATATTTTGAAGCAATTTCTATCTGGTTTTTCAGCTGGAATTTAGGTTGGCCTTAGCTGGTTGGATGTTGGACAAATTATGGGTCTAAGGCTGGCCAGTGATTGTGTAGCTAAGAGTTTGTGGTTAGTGGTGGCTGACCGGCCCAGCCGCTCCTCATGTGTTTTTGACATGGCGAATCACATGGCCAGCGTTTAGTCACTATGGATACGAAGCTAGACAGAGAAGGACAAGTCAACTGTTCTTGTACTGTAATCTTGTATTAACACCTTTATGTTTATTATCCTAACTCCATGTCTCCACATTATGTTTCATACTTCTATCTTTGTATGTTTTGTTTTGTTCAGTCAATACACCTCACTCTGGGTGGATGTTAGAGCGTCACTGGGAAGCACTGGCTTTGCATGCAGCTCTATTTCTCTACTGTAAGATGACAACAATCTGCCATGGACTGCAAGTGTGTGATGAACTGCAAGTGTGTGATGATTTGGACAGGCCACTCGTCACCTGGCCTGTTTACTTTCAGTGGAAAAAAACGACTTGCCAAATTGAATCTTTAAGCTGGAGTGTTGCTTCTGAACCTTGGCAAAGGCGCCTGTCCTTGTCCTTCCATCTGTGCATCCGTCTCTTTGTCCGTCCAGATACTTTTCCTTTTTGAACATTTACTGGGAGAAGTAAGGGCTATTGCGGTTGGGCAGCTACATGTACTTGTTACTCTCATGAACTTATAATGCCTTCAGATCTAAGGATAGAGCTTTGTGAAAGGCAACCTCAGTAAGGCCAACAAATCCTGCCCTCCCATCCCTTTTTCCTTTCTTCTCAAATTCAAACCATCCTGAGCTAAGCACAGGTGCCCAGTGGAAGGAGCCATCACCACTTAATGATTCCAAATCCTTCTGTACATTTTCAGTAGAGAAGACAAGTTTACATGATAGTATTTTATTACTACTGGGCAAAAGGTTTTCTTTTTTATATACAGAATGACATGGTATAAACACCTATGTTACCTAAATACCTGCAAGGTATTTATAGATTTGGTGGTGGCTGTCATATAGTATGACACTTCAGGTTAACCAGGTGCCAAACATGATGTCAGTGAAGCAGGGAGACCTTAGATGTGGCGTTTAGAAAGGCCACTGTGACCTAAACAAACATCACCCCCAGACTACAAGAGTTCAGTGGTCATTCATGGAGTCTTTTAGTGCTGGTGAAGTCTGCAAATGAATGCTAACAAGCTAATGGACTAGCCTAAAGGTAGATGACAAATTAGCCTTACTATACAAGGTTATAGATTTCAGCATGTAGTAGACAAGCTGTTAGCTTAGCATTCTTGTCAGAGCCATGCGAATCCTTCCTTCCGCGCCAGCCACCACACACTCTGGATTGTTTTAATCTGAGTTTTCCAGCATGCTATGATAATAAATGTATCGGTGTATGATACAGTGACACACCAAACAGAAAAACGTAAAAACAAACTAACAAAAAATATATAAAAAAGGAGTCTTGCCAAATGTCCCATTAACAATTTAGTATTAAACGGACATTTTGTGTTGATGATGTGAACCTTGTTCTTGGCCTGTGGATGTCCAGTAGAAAGTGCATGAGTGCAGTATATGCTATTTTAACACACACACACACACACACCATTGTGTTACATACCGGGTTTACCGACCCAAGGTTAGTATAAAACAGTGCCACTTCTCACTTCAGGAAACACCTGAAATATGTGCCAAGTATCCAACACAATTAAACAGTCAACCCTTGCACAATGTCTAAAATATGTCATTCTCTTAGTGATCTTTTATGACGTGCCAATCTCTAACTTGAACTTTTGACATTGTCAAGCTTTTGAACCAACCAATCTTTTTCTTTAGTTGTATTGTACTAAACCATTTGTAATGTTTTATTTGGCAATACAGAAGGACTTACATGAGGACGGAATTCATGTTTGTAAGGGCTTGACTGAATGCTGTTTTGTGGAAGAGCTGTGCATGCATGCCCTGTTGAGAAGCAGAGAATTAATTATTTTCACTTTTTTTCATAATCTGTAACATATGACTAGAAAAGTTAAAAAATGAAATGAAACCTCAAAATGTCATTCATGACCAACAATGAAATCCATGTTCTCTACAGAACGATTTCTCCTTTTTACCGAGTCTGTGGCTGTTAAGAATGTTTTACCTATAAACCGATAAATACTGAAATCATGGTGCAATGAAACATGTTTACATGTATACATGTAGTGAGTATGCGCTTTGCTAATACAAAGGCTGAACAGGAGTCTGTCGCTGTGATCTCTGTCTGGCTGTGTCTTACAACCAGAGACCTAGATTTACGCTTTAGGTCATTCTCACCTAACTTACGAGAGAACTACAGTGGTTAAATATTTAGACGATTTATTTAAACAATAGTTCAAATTAATGTTTTGAAGCAATGTAGAAAAAATATTGGGTGATCTTGTTTTTTTGCCTGGTCTCCCTTGAGCTTTTACATGTCTAAAGGTTCTACATGAGGTTTTAAAACGAGGCGGATCATACTGGCCGATGAAAGGAGCTGCCCTGATGAGGTGGAGTTTGGCAAAGACTTGGCCTTACTGACACCTTTTTCTTTTCCCTTTCAGTAAATACATACTTGTATAGAAATGATTATACTTAAAGAATATATTAAAGTGTCTTTGTAGGCTTTTCACTACCTCTCATGTTGGTTAATTTATTTCACCTCTTGTTGTTGATGTAAGTTGTTTTAGATCTACTTGAAGCCTAACACTGTAAACACAATGTGCACAGAAAGATGTTTTTGAAAGAGGTTGAGAGCTTGGCCTAGTGGACTTAATGTTATTATGACTTTTTGTATGTTTTAGATTTTGTTGAGCTTAAATAGATGATACATCTCTATAATGAATTCAGGAAATCCACTGTCTAAGGGCTAATCCCATTTTGCCTATGCAAATCTGTTAACTGTGGCAGAGTTGAGGAGGAGGCTGTCTTGCGCCTCTTTCCCTTGTTGTAGATGGACAATGATTCACATTGCCCTTTGATCGAATTCTTCAATCCTGTTTGGCAAAATTGATTTGATATATAGCAGTGACTCTGGCATATAGATAAAAAGATAAACCTTTCTGAAAACAAATAAATGTGTTTGACAATACGTGGCTGTGTGCTGGAGTCTTGGAGAATGGAGACTATCCTCATACAGTGCTGTGCCAATGTTAAGACTAGAAAAGAGATTATTGCATGATATTATTCTGCATATGCTGCTATTAAAAGACAGTTGATGCAGCACTTCAAAGACTTATCACTGTTTTTGTAAAGAAGATTCATCAGCTGGCTCAATATGAAGTGGAAATGAATGATCCTTTAGTGAAACCGACAGACGGGGCACAGTGCTGTTCATCGAGTCCATGCACAATTCCTTTCCATCCTTTTAGCAGTTTTGGGCAAACCTGGAAAAAAGTACTCCTCCGTTTTTGGGACGTGTACTGTCTGTTCAGTAGTTTTTATGTAATAAGAAATATCTGACAACACTCCATCCAAATGCAGAGCTGTGTTTGTCCAAAAGGAGTATGGCATGTTTTGGATAATTGTTACTTCAAGTTGTGTAGCCACATCTTACTAAAGTGATCACTGTGTAGCGTGTGCATCTGCTGAGGGGTTTCCTCTTTATTTGTCCACTGATGCATCAATGTAGGAGACATGGAAGACATAAATGACCATTTTAACTTAGCTCTTTGGCCAATTTAAGGTTTGATGCTGAGTCTTTATTTAGGTCTATAAAGGTCTTGTTTTTTAAAACTTTGTACAGATGTTTTTCTTCCACAGCTGAAATGGGAAGAATTCTTTAAATGTCCTCCCAGTGCATTGTGGGTCATTAAGTGAATGGTTTGGGAGCGTGTTCCCTCAGATGGGTTTGGTGCCTCTTTTCACTTCACGACCGACCTCAACTTTTTCAAAAGCTTTTTCAAAGTCTTTCTCCCTTGGTTCCTCAACGCCATCACAGACAGAGACGAACGCCCCGTGTTGTAACAGGGAGAGAGCATTGTCCTTTCTGCTGGTGTCTTTGTGGTCCTAAAGGAACAAGATCATTCTCAAAGCTGTCGAAACTGAAAATGTTCCTCCAGATTTTTAGGCAATCACATTTCTCTTTATTGATTTCGATGCCTAAGCCTCTCGGTTTTCTGTCATGCCTTTGTAGATAAATTGTTGGCAAAAGTTGACTCACCGGTGAAAAGAACTTTACCGTCACTGAAGTGATTGAATAGTGACATTTTTCTATTCAGCATGCTTTTGCTAAATAAATGAAATAATTCAGTTATTTGCTATAAACGATACTGTATGAGTATGTATCCAAGTACTGCAGTATGCAGACTATTTAAACACCAGAAACTCTCCTGAGAGCTTCATTCTTTCGTTGTATATTTCAGTAGTTGTTTTTCTTTTACTGTCTGATATTCTTTTCTTATCTCTGATCCTTTCAGAAACCGTCTAAAACCATAGTTAATTTGTTTTTTCAAAGCATGTTTACAATTGAAAATATCTTCCACAACAAGAAATTCACACGAACAGAAGAAAACGTAGTGCTATTTGTGGCTTTGTGGGGCGCTCTCTACCTTTTTGAGGCACATGTTTTGCCTACGGTGGACACGGGCGAGAGTAAAATACCATCTTTAGATTAGATTAGTTTTAAAAATAGTTATGCTTCAGGCGCAGAGAGAAGAGCTCACAAAGTATAAACTAAATGTAATGAATACTTTCTTACAAACAAAACTTATTGGCGTTCCATGCATTGTAGTAAACAAAGAGTATGGACAGGACCTCACTTTGCAAACATAAAGTTTTTGGAGTTAATTAATGAGAACATGGAAGGATTCAAGTGAAAGGTTTTGTGGTTGTGATTAAGAGCCATCTATAACTATCTCCATGACGACACTGCAAAACCAGCACTGACAATAAAGCTGTTCACCATTTCACCTTCAGTTCTGTCCCCACATTTCAAAACACGGCCCTGTGACTTCAGGCAACACACTGATCATGTTCTGTTGGTTTTTGTCTGTAATCATACGGCCATATTTTGCATTAACAAAGAATCTCCTATATATGTTAACTGCCCTTGAATATCTGTAATAAAAATAGTGCTGCTAGAGAAAGAAATCTAAATGTAACATCTTACAATAAATACTTAATAGATTTTTCCCAGATGTGACTGTGTCTTTTTTTGACCGGAGTTAGATTTGGTGCATACAATACTAGTATTTCTGTTGTTTACAAGTTGGTGTCCGAGTTATTAATATAAATAATATCCACAAGATTAAAACAGATGTTACAGTTCTCCCATCTCCCAGAGCAATTTAACGTTTTTCTGTTTCTATCGGTAGTTTTATTTCTATGTTTTTATGTTTATGAAATTATCTTGATCCTAAACTGGTCCTGGATTGGTTCAGAGCGATCTCAGTGTGGTGCACGTGCTAGTTACCATAGCAACACACTGTTTACCTCCATCAGTTAGCAATTACCTTTGTATTTCAGTTGTAATCACCATTTTTAGCATGTATTATTCATATTGATTTGAATGAATGTAGTGAAAAAACAGTTTTTTTTAGATTTGTTTAAGTATTCCATTAATTTTAACGAGAAACCGTCAACAAGTCTGCTCTGTGAGTTCTAGTAGTTTCAGAATTCTGGGAGCCTTAAGTGTTTGTTAGTTATGCCCAACTGAAAATATTTATTAGCAGAACTTGGTGACAACTGGCATCACTAGCTTGAAGATCCTCACTCTGCCAACCGGCTCTCAATCCATTAAGCGTCAAATAGTGACAGGGATCTTTTCTTTCTGTTAGGACAAAAGAAACAAGATAGGTATCCCAGCTTTAACCCTTTAATTTTCACTCCTTGAAGAAAGCAACATAGATTTTTCCTTTTTTTGATTTTCTAAGATGGAGAAGCACTAATGACACAAATAATGCACAAATAATTACCAAATGGATGCAGTTTGATAGTAAAAGATAGAAAAAGTGCCAAGTGATGCCCCAATGAGGTAGATTTCAGTTCCAAACATATAGTGACTCAAATAACGATCCACCAAATGGTTGAGGACACCATTAAAGGGTTAAGTGACTTGCGGACACAGGTTTTACATCCATGAATTAAGCATTTTTTACCCAAAGTGAAATGGTCCAGTTGAAAGAAACCAGACCAACACGTGTGAAAGAGATGTGGTTCTTTTAAGTTATTCTCAAAAGAGGATTTCAGAAAAGATTTAACTGAAAAAACACTTTATTCCATCATGAACATCTCGGTGATTTTACATTCAGATCCTGCGGAGGTCAGACGCTGGGCTTGTCCTCATGAACCCACGTGTCTGCCTCCTGTCCCGTTATAGGCATCGGTTTGGGGACGTGGGGTGGTTAAGATCTGTCACTCCTCGGTCTTTTGATCTGTAGGTTCCGGTGCAGTGGAGGCAGATTCGGACTCTTCTTGCGTTTTGTCCAATCCTGGAGCTCCGTCTCGGTCACATGACTGCGTGGCATCTTTCGTACAAACGGCAGTATTCGAGGAGGAGCCGTCTATACTCTCATAAGGCTCAGTTGTCCACTAAAACAAACAAACAGACACATAATACATTATACACTGCATTCAAGGTGCCAAGAGTTAGTGATGCTATATTAAATGTCAAATACTGTATCTTCTTTAAAGTATGTTTGCTTCTTTTCTGTACTTTCTACACTTCATAACATCCATGGATTAAGGGGAAGAAAATGGATGGATCATTTTCTTCCCCTTAATCCATTTCTGGGTCGGGGGGGGTGGCAGTCAGAGCTGCACCCAGTCACAGAGCACCAGCCCCTCACTGATCTCCTGCAGGTGGTGAGACCACAGGAGCCTTGATCTTTCAGTGGGGGCTTCAGGCAAAGTGGGGTTAAGTGTCTTGCCCAAGGACACAACGACAGCAGTCATCAGTGGGAGTCGTGAAGTAGGTCTGACGGTGGGCTCGAACCCTCGACCGTCCGGCTCAAAGGCCAATGCTCTACCAACTGAGCTACTATCGCCATAACAACCAAATCTTTATGTAAATGCCAGCACATATTTACAGCTGTGATGAAACATGAATTAGTCTGATCAATACCGATTAGAGCTGCATCATTAAACCACATTCAGGAAGTTAAACCGATAGTTTTGGTGCTTGTTGATTCTGACATTATTGTGGTCAAATGTACCTTTGTACAGGTGATTGATTCATTTTGTCTCCAACAAAGATGGCTGATATGGCCAATCACGTTTGATGTACAATGTTAAGATGGACCGCTATTAGTGCCTTTCAAATGTGATTATTTTTTTAGTCCAAACCGGGGAGCCACTGCAGCTTTTTAAAATTGGTCGTGTTCATGAGAAATACTATATATGAAGATAAATAGCTGACGATGCTCTGGGGACAGACTAGTTTTGTGGATTGTGAGTGATCTTCTTACGGACGTCCTTCAGTGGAGAGTCCTGGGGTGATGGTCGACTCAAGCCCAGTGTGGTCTGGTTTTTAAGCGACATTAATCCCTGCCTTCTACTGGAACCTTCTGAATAAGTCAAATAAGTGATCCACACATTTGTAGTCCGACTCCAGAGCTGTCTGCAGCAGAACAGAGCCCAGATCCTTCCACTGATTCAAACTAAGAAATGAGAACTTATTAGAGCTGCAACATTAATAGAAAATCGTATATTTACTAATTAGCTAATCACAAAAACTAATTGTTTCATTGCTTTGGACCCTTGTACCTGCGCGTCCTTGTATCTGTGTGTCCTTGTACCTGCGTGCCCTTGTACTGTACCTGTGTGCCCTTGTACCTGTGCACCCTTGTACCTGTGTGGCGCGGCTGCAGGAGCGGTGTGAGGGTCCGGTGAGGGCGATGTTGACGCTGGAGGAGGACTGTGTGTCTGTGGTGTTTCCTCCCTCAGCCGCAGACAGACCAGAGATCACCAAACCACTGGAGAAACTCCTCTTCCCAAAGAGAAGGCTCAGAGTGGACGAGGACGACGACACCTGTCAGTCAAAATCATCACATTAATATACAGCCATTCAATTTGTGTTATTTAGAGTGCGTATTCTACTTCTTGGTGGTGGAGTATTAGTAGAAAGTTATGTTTATTTAGCACATTTTTACAGACCAAAGTCACCCAAAGCGCTTTACAATGTTCAGAGTTCACATATTTTTCCAAACTCTCCACACGGTGAAGACACAAACACACTGCCGCATCCAAGCCCCAGACTAACACCATCCATTCACTCACTAACTAAACCTACACAGACACAGGGAGAACATGCAAACTCCAGAGAAAGGCCTGGCGTTGCAAACCTCAGACCTTCAGACTGTGAAACACAAGCTCTAACCACTGTGCCACTCGGCCAGAGATTTTTAAGACCTCACTTCGCCCTAATCGAGGTTGGTTTAGATCTGGTGGAACATCTTTAGGATTTTGTAGAAATCTTTGTAACTTTGTTTTGTTTCATAAATACAAGCTGGTCCCAACAGAAAGAGTAACAATATGTAAACAAATCAGCCCACAAACACACAGGCGTAATCTTATTAGATATATTATTTGATATTTTGAATACCAAGAGCTGATTGGCTGAAAAAGCTGAGGCCAAACAATACGTGAAATTATAGAACCAAACGTGTGTGTGTGTGTGTCAAAGAATGGGTGTATTTTTAATGTAAGAGATATATTTCTGACAATCATTAACCCCAAATAAAATTCTAATACCATGAAAAATACAGTAGCCACAGGGAGAACATGCAAACTCCACACAGAAAGGCCCTGTCTGTAGTGCTAATGGCTGCACCACCATCCAGCCACAGTCACAGTTTACACACAGACAACACACCCTCTCCCTCACACCAGTTGTAATCCCATTTGTCATCAATTCAAGTGTGTGTTCTTCACCTGACTGGATCGCTGATGTTGCTGCTGCTGCTGTGCATTCTGCATCTGTGAGTTGATCCCAGCGGCCCCCGAAAGACGAGGGACCTAAGTGTACGGAGACCACAGTAATTGACAGGTCCGCCTTCAAACACATATATTTGACGTTTGCAAAATAAACCACATTGGAATACATTGTGCAAAAGTCCCCAGTGTGCACCAGAAAGAACAGAAAAAACCTATTGTACAGAAATTACAGTTATTAACAGTGATTCAAACAGATGTATTTGACAAAAGTTCAAGAGACCATGGCAGGAGCTCTGGTGTGTACCATCGTCTCTGTCTGGTGCACACTGAGTCTTGCACAGTTTTTCCAATGTGGTTTTACTGCAAATGGCAAATAAATTCTTGAATCTTGCATTGAATCTTGAATTGAGAGATGAGCGCTTCAGTGGGTCATCAGGATCAGCAGAGAAAAAACACTGGGAACATGTGAGAAAGGAGGAAATCCGAGGCACTCTTGACAGTAAACAACAATCCTTTAAATCAGGCGTGTCAAACTCAGGCCCGTGGGAAAAATAAGACATTTTTATTAACAGTAACTTGCAGCGTTGATGGAAACAGGCTACAATGACATTATTTTACTCCATTAGAAGTTAAGTTAGTTAAATATAAAAAAATAACAATTGGCCAATCAGTCTTCCAATAAATCTTAGTCTTGATATTTGGCCTAATTGTGGTTGAATCCAAACATATAGAAATTAAAATCCAAACTGATAATTTGTTAATATAAATAATATATAATATATATAGTTTAAAGAAGCAAGAAAGGGTTCAAGTGGTAGAAGGCTTAACAAACAGGTGGTGTTCAAAGACATAGTTACAGACAAAGCAGATACAGGATGTTTTTGTAGCACTCAGGCAAGGAATGTTGCTTTGCCGATTAATTTTAAAACGTGATGGCTACGTGTGTAGTGTGGTGAACGAGAGGTCAAAAAAGGTCTGAGGCACTCTTGAAGTGAAAAAATGTAAAAGTCCTATATTAAAATTGACTGCATATTTTGTCAAGGCATTTTGATAAAGGACTTTTACAATTTTCACTTCAACAGTGTGCCTCAGACTCCCTGTTTTTGAACGCTCAACGTCCCTGCTTTAATGCATGTATCAAGATGTATTTGACATTGTGCATGTTTTTAGATGTATTTGACCTTTTCAAAATAACCCACATTGGAATACATTGTGCAAAAGTCGGCAGTGTGCACCAGAAACAAACCCTAAAGAAACATAAAAACACACTATAAAAACACAGATCATAAGAAGTTATACTGTCAGCATGAAACAATAGTGTCAGCCTTTAAAGTGTGGTTTGTACCTGTGAGAATATTGAGGCTATAGACGTGTTAAAAGACAGCTGACTGTTGGACAGGCGCTGCACCAGGCCGTGGGCGGAGCCTGTGTCTAGGATGGGTCCTGATTGGCTGGTGACAGGAGGACGCTGGCTCTGAGGCTGCACTGAGCGACTGCGGTACTCTCTCCTGCCTGCAACACAAAACATTTACAATGTCACCGACGGTTTCTAGAAATATTACCCACAACATGTCTATTTTCAGATTTTTAATTAACAAATCTTTCAATTCCCACTTGTGTCAGATCTAGGAGACTGAGTAAGAGGGACCGTGGTCAGTACTTGGATGAGAGACTAGCGATACCTGGTGCCAGGGGGACGGCTGTGACACTAGTCCTGGGGCACTTCACCCACTTCACTTCATTGCCTACTTTCTTCTTCTCACAAAATAAAAATGTGTAATGTCTTGAGTGTCCAAAAAACATGATAAATCTGCAACATTGTTCTTCCTTACTTTTCCTCAACTGTTTGGCTTGGGTTCATCTAATGCAGTAGTTTTGCATGGGCATTGATACAGGTTGTCATTAATCTTTCCTTTCACTTTGGGAATAGCATGTGACTTGGCTAAGCTACAACTTACAGCTGTGGAAAGCAGAGTTTTTTAACTGCAAAAACTAGTTTTTTTAAGCACCAAAATTATCCATAAATGTGGAATTTACAGATACTTGTTTCAAATCAATGTGAGATTTCAAGCAAGGCAATATCTACCACAAGAGGCAGGTATCGGACCCCCAGGACAAATGAGGAATGCACCGATATAGTATATTCTAAAGCATTTGTTAGCATTCACATTTGCAAACGGGTCATACCATACCATACCATACAAGCTTTATTTATTAAGCACTTTTAAAAAAACGTTACAGTTCAGCCAAAGTGCTGTACACAAAAGTCAAATTCAAAATTAACCAGTACCCGATGCACAGACAAGTGTAAATTCACTTTCTCACATCATAACAGTAAATATGAAGCTGTAAAAGTGTCACTGCTAATTCCATTGTCACAACAAAGCCCACAGTAAAATGAGATGATTACCAGAGCTGTGCTGGCGGCGGCTGTGCGAGCTGCGGGCCCTGTTCTGGTACAGGCTCAGGCTGTTGGAGGTCACTGAGGACGGACGGTTGTGGCTCAGAGACGAGGATCCTCCAGCTCCACAGTCCACGTCCTCCATGTTGACGCCGCTGTTACAGCTGGTCAGGTTGTCTTTGCGCACCCTGTAAGAACATATGCTGACTTTACACGCCTTTTGGGGACACTGTGAATATATGACCTTTGGATTTCATGCAGTCTGATTCCAACTTTGACCATTCAGACCCGGAATGTCAATTCTGGCCCAAAAGAACATTTTTGGTGGCCCCTACGATGATTTTTAATTATTATCATTATTGATAACTTGCAACATTGATGGTAATGATCTACTAAACCATGTTATACATAATCTATTGTCTCGAGAAAGCAACAACATTTAATTTATTTTAAAATGTTAACCCAACACATAGTTAGAAGTTGAACAAATTGAACAATGTGTTGAATTTGGTTAAATCTAAACAATAAACACATTTTGTTTTCTGAAAGTAAACAACAATCTCTTCTATACAAATCTCTCCTATTCTTTCTGCCCGTGAAACTACAGCATTAGACCAAAATAGACTCATGTTTAAGGATGTATGCTGTGGTGCCACAAAGACCAACTGTTCAGACATGCAGGAACTTCTTCAATGGGACTTGATGTGAAACGTTTGAAGCATGGCTGACTAAAATTCAAACTTAAAAATGGAAATAATAAAATCTAACTAGTTGTTCACTCTTAAAACAAGTTGGTCAATTGTTTTCACATGCAAAAATGTTTGGCCTCTGCCACAGCTTTTTCAGACAAAAAAGTGAAAAGAAAGGACCACCCTCACTCAGCACAGGGCTCTTTCAAATGAGATAAAGACATCACGTGTAGTCCGTTCAAATATGGTGCAGATTGCTTAAATAGTGCTCTTTTGGGGAGAAGAAAAATATTACTTATGGGTAAAATGTAAGTACCCCAGAATCACAGTTCAAGGAGACAATGTTTACTGCAGACTAATCCATGACATGAAGTTTAACTTTACACCAATGAGATTAACAGTATAATCAAATCTGAAAAGAAAACTCTGCTTTTAAGAGGCTTAACACACAGCTGAGTAAAGAACATTAGCTGGCCTATTGAGATTATAAATTATAGTATACACGCACGCACACACTAACACACACACACACACACACACGCACACACACACCTGAGGATGCTGCCAGCTTCTGAAAGTCAAAGCTTTTGGGTCTTGTTTCAGCTAGCACATCTATTGTCCCTGTTTAATTGAAAAGTAAATTAGGCCCGTGCAGCAGTCGCCAGAAAGACTTTAGTTCAATCAATAAGTGTAAGTCAGAAAGTCACCCTTTACACTGCTTATAATTACACTGCACTTTACCCTTCACAGAGAAGAGTTTTACGACCAACAGTAGACGGCTGGACATTTAAGGTTGAACCAATGAACAATCATGTCAATTGTTTTGGGGTAAATAGATAAAGCAGGAGCTTAAATGACGCAGACTAAAACACATTACTGACCTTAACCATTTGGTGCAGAACCAAGAGCGGATGGCATCGAGGCTCAGAGCTCCTCCCCCAATACTTTGCAAGGTTCTGTGGGTCCCCGCAAATGATGTTGTCAATGGAGATACGTACCTGTAACACAAAACATGAAACACACTCCTAATCCAGTTGGGAGAGTATATTTGGCAACTTCACACATAAACATACAGCATGAACATAGCCACATCTCATTTCCACTATGGTTGTCAAAGATCAAAGGGAATTAAAGATGTAATTAAAGAATGATTTAAAAACAAATCTGTTGTGTGATGTATTCGGTGTTGGAAAAACTACTTACTGTATAATAATAATAACAGAATAAAACTTACATGGGGTAGCCCAGTGGTTGGTCACAAGATGAATTGACCATGTTCCGTAGCGCTTGTTTGGAGTTCTGGATGCTGCCGCGTTCTGGGTTGCGATTCCGTAAAAACACCAGCTCCTGTTGCTGCCCGGCCCACAGGCCTCGCACACACTCCTTATTGATCTGCAAAATGTCACGCAGTGTAAGACAGAAGGCTTTAGAACAGGGCTCTCAAACTTATTTTAACATTGGAGCAGACGGACCTAGGCACAACCAAACCTTAACCTAATGTTAACAGTAGAGAAAAAGATTATGGGCTCGTAATGGAGACAAAAACAGTTACAAGGCCAAAGTTTTATAGTTCATTGTTTGTATCTATGACTGTTTATTATCATGATGGTATTTTGAGTTTGATATATTTCTTTATATATTTCTATGAACAAAATTAGTCCAACTGCTTGTATTTAAACCAAACTGGACAAAAAGCAATGAGGCTTTGTATTGTAGACTGGGTTTACAAGAATGTTTACTTTGAATTATTGCTTTTTGAATTCAGGGGTCAATGTTTATGGTAAAATAAATTGTGTGGTTGCTTTCTTGATCAAATTTTCTTTAAAACAATGTATCACATGTCATATGTGCACAGACTCTCCGCACAGACAATAAAGTTTTATGTCCACTAGGAGCCACAACATGCTTTTCGCTGGTCGCAAATGGCCCGCGGTCCACGTGTTTGAGACCATGGTTTTAGAAGGATCCACAATGTCCACAGTATATTCTGTTGGGTGTTGAAAATACAATATGTGCTGAACTTGTCGGAGTTTATCCAAAGTTCAACATTGCAATAACTGCAGAAGAGGTATTAGAATGTAGAAAATGCACACAGGATGCATCTTTCACCTCTATTCAGCCTTCAAAACACCAATATAATGTTAAGCACAGTCTTTCCTTGCCTTGGATACAGTCGAAAACATGTCCCACTAAATCAGGCAGGTCATCATGAAGTGGACAGCTTCTAATGTGTTGTATTTACAGTAAACATTTACTCAGTGGATGTAATGGATAGACTTGTCATTCAAGTTGCTTCCAAGATGAATGAATAATGAAACGCACTTTAATAAAATCAAAGGCAGGTTAAGTGGCATTGATTCTGTTAATGAGTGTCTCCGTCTTCTATTCGTCCTGCTGGTCTGACCCTAAGATGCATCCATACAAAGCAAAAATCAGTGCTTACCTTGATGACCTTGAAGCTGAGGTGGCGTTTGTACAGCATGATGATCTTGTACTCGTCCGTGCCGTCGTCAATCATGTGTCGAAGAGTGAGCAGCGTGTCTCGGCTGGACAGCACTGCCTTCCTCCACGCTGGGTCACTCTCATGGCAGATCACCAGACTGCTGCGGTAGTTGGTGATGGCTTCGTACAAGATGGAAGCCTCCTCGGTCTCTTCCAGGCATGTGAAGTGGTCCTGAAAGGCGAGAGGAAAATCATATACGCAGCATATCGTTAGTCTTCTGTCCTCGTCTTCTGTTGACTTAAAAACATTCTGTGTGTACTGTACCTGGTGTAATTTAAGGCTCATTCTAACGGCTGGAGCTACAACCTTCTGCAGAAGATCGAGATCAGCAAACACCCACTCATCTTTGGTGCCAATACGAAAGTCTCCTTTAAACAGTGTGTTGAACCCATACAGGAACGACTCCAAGCTTTGAACAAAGAGAGGCATAACATTAAATGCACAAAAAGATTATTGGCTTTGGTTAAACGAATTACTACTTTGGACTCTGCGGCCTAATGTATGTTTTGTATTTTGTTAGCTGCCCTTGGGGTGAGGGAAGGAAGTAAGACATAGCTGTATCGTCTTATGATATAGCGCAAATTCTGCTTCCCGTTTTGTTTACGTGAACAGCAGGGGGAGACACACAGAGGAAGTGCAAGGAAATTGCAGTTTATGAAGTTAATATTTTTGTTTTATAAAATTTTCATAAAGATAAGATAAGATAAACCTTTATACCTTTTAAAATGTTAATGTCAAAATGTACAATCATAAGTAAACAGTGCTTTACAATACCTCATCATCAAATCATGTTGCGTCCAGTTTAAACAGTCTATCAGGTTTGTTTTGCTCCATCTTGGTATGTCTCATTGCAACATGAAAACCTGTTTTATAAACCTGGGGCTTATGTTCAAGTGCAGCCTGCATGAAGACAAACTGGGCTTTCTCTTCAAATGCAGATGGTGTGGTTTATATATACAGTAGGTGCCCTTAATACTGTAACTACCATATTTAAACCCTTGTACATAGATATTGGAGAATGGGTTTTTTGTTCACAATTCTGCTTCTTGTTACATGCATAGTTGGGATTGAAAAAAACTGCTAAACCTAACTCCATATGGTTGGAATATTCAAAAGAGTAGTTAAGTATTCACATATAGATACAGACATTTCCACATCCTTAAAATCCTTAGTTTGAGGGACAATGAGAGACAAATGATGCTTACTCAAGACAGACCTAATTTCACTAATGCTGTAAGTGAAATTAGCTAATGCATTTCAATTCATTTCAATGAAGTAGAACTGAGAAGGAGGTCGTTTCTGTCCTCCACAGCTTTTTACTCGATTAAACAACAAATACCTGTTGGACATATTGTGAGATGCTGTGCCGAGAGATCGTCTTCCCAGGACAGAGAGAGCATAAGACAGAGTGACCAAAGCGGAGTCTTCATCACACTCCACAGGCTAAAACACAGAGAGAGTTCACCAGGACTAGCTCATTCAAACAGATATTAGGATTAGGGTTCGTACAGTTTCCATTTTTCCCGCGCAGTATTGGATCCACTCCAGATAGACGTTGCAGAAGCTGGCGCGGGTCACTCCCTGCAGACAGTGCACGTAATCTTCATCGATCTTCACGCTGAAAACCTGTGGGTCACGTTCGATGTGGTGCCACTTTGTGTACGACTGCAGCGCCTCCTGGACCGACTCGTCCTTCATCCAAGTGGACAGTTTGGGAGAGTGCACCAGGTAGTAGATAATACTCTGGGAAAGGAAAATCAGACCATCACTCATATCTATCATTATGTTTTTAGAAAATTTAAGAACTTTTGAAATTCACTCCTATAGCCACCAGTAGCTCGCCACCACCTCCCAGGTAGCTCCAAGTATTATTCACTCGCTCAAAACTATTGTAAATGTAAACTTGCTGTGTGCGATAGTAACAAATTTGATGATAAACTACTATTGACAGTACCCATTCTCAAGCTAATTTAAACTCATTTTAGAAGAAGCCAGTTCCTGCACATTTGACTCTTGCAAAGGTTGGTTTGAAGTCATAATTTGAAAATTGAAATTTTTATTTGACAAGAACCAAGGGAAAAATGAGTGAAAAGTGGAGTTTAAGACTACCATAATAATAAAAATATGGCCAAAACATTTACATCTCAGGGTGTGTAAACTTTCAAGCCCAACTGTATATACTTCTAGCAGTGGTTGCTTAGGAAACATGTAAGTCCTATGTAACTTATGTGCATATAATAAAATACAACAATCCAGTCATTAATGTTCATCCCGTATAATTAGTCCATTTCTGGGTTTGGGGCGGAAGCATTCAGAGCTGCCACCCAATCTTTGTAGCCCCAGCCTACTTCAGACAGAGGATGCTAAATGTCCCGCCCAAGGACACAACAACGGCGTATCCCAATAGTTAAAATAGCATGAATCAAGAAGAGGTTTCTGGACTGGTGCTCACCTTCAGGTAGTATGTGATGAGTAGCTTGCGCAGGTCATACACTTGTAGCATGGTAGCAGCATTGTTCTCACTGATGCTGTATCCCTCCAGCAGGTACTTGGTGGCCATCACCTCCCAGGCCAGCCAGCGCAGGTTGAAGGCCGCATTACAAGACAACGTATGTGGAAGGTGTCCTGGCTCACAGCAGCAACACCCATCATCCTCCTCCACGCCTTCTGTGATGGCCTCTACCTCCCTCTGCTGGCAGTATGTGCCTACACAAGCACACAGGCATCAGCATGCACAATATAGACACTAGGGTTCATATGAAACTTCATCCTAAAACTACATGCACTAACAATGTACCTTTACTATTGATGATTTTGTTGTTGCTTTGTGACCACATTTGGTATATCGTCCCAGGGGGCCTGCGTCATACATGTTGCATGACGCATGTATTTGCCTTTGTAAAGAAATTATTTTTCTGAGCAGCTTCATGGAGATTTCTACTTTAATAAGAATTTATATTAAACTGTGTGATATCATGAAGCAAGGAATTATTCTATACTATTATCTGTTTTGAATTAGTCTTTTATTGTGCAGTACATAAACTGTGTTTATGAAATTTGCTATATAAATAAAGTGGATTGGATTAAATATCCAGCTTATTGTCTAAAACATATAATTTAAAAGTTATTTTTCAAATACTCCATTGTTTTTGTCCCAACAGTAAACGTCAAATATTGTGAACAAATCACACCACAACATGCAAACAAAAAAGAGGCCTATGAGTCACTATTTCTCTTTTTAGGCTGAGGCAAAGTGAGGATGGTCATCTTTTTCACTTTTCTAGTGAAAAAGAGATGTGACAGAGGCCAGAAATGGATGCATGTGAAATTTAACAATAAAAATGTTTTGAGCTTTTGAGATTTGAAATGTAGGAACTCCAACTTTAAATCATCATGCGAGGGGAAATCAAAGTATCAAAAGGCTCTTCTTACCTCTAAACTCTAGTCCTCTCAGTTGGAAGGTGACCAGACCATTCCCAATCTCGATGAGATGGACCAGAGCGTTGAGGTAGTCCGAGGCCAGGATGAAGCAGTCTCCAGCGCTGTAGTTCCCCCAGCGGCCCAGAAGCAGATCCCCACAGAGCGAGTGCTGCAGTGACCGCGTCAGGTACTCGTAGAAAATGGAGTTTAGGTTGTTATCATCACACCCTGGCAACGCAAGGAAAATAGGCTTACAACTATACATACAACATAAATACATACAACTGAATTTGATAAAGTACTTAGGTCACCTGTTTCTTTGTCGACTTGGCAAACCAGTCGGCTGTTGGAATTGTCAATACGCTTTGTGCTAGAGTAGATAAAAAGATATTTTTTTAAAGATATTTTGTTGATAATGCACGCTAAAATAGATCAGTCTCTTAGATCAAAGGCACTGGCTCTATTAGTGTCTACAACATGTGTTTATCTGCGGAAGGTTGAAGTAATGACTGAAACATCAAAGCAGAATATCACTCATAAAGGACAGATGAATGGAGCTATTTTGGTAACCAAGACAACAAAGTGGGAATTCAATCAGAGCGAGTACAATTCTACATTTATTCATTATAAAAGTAAAGCAATAAACAGGTGAGCAACTGTATTATTTTTTTATTATTATATATACTTAAACAAATATGAACATTTATATTCATTTTTGGACATTGGTCATCTGACCCTTATGGACCATTGGCTCTATATGTTTTTGTCATTGCATTTCCTGTGTTTGAACCATTTGATTCTCTGATCTGTGTCTGCGAATTCAACGGTTTTGTTAAGTCCACCAAACTACAGTTGTGGTTTAAGGCTGTCCAAAAATAAATTGAATTGAATGAATTATGAATATTATCATTATTACTTGTAGTTACGCTCCCAGAACTTGATTGGCCGTGGATAGGATGAAATGAAAATGGCACTGCCCAAAAAAGGAGCCAGAGGTGTGTAGAAGACAGTGGTGATGAGGGTCTGCAGCAGCAGCATGGCAGAGTCTGGGAAAGCACTTGAGTCAAGGGGGATTCCTGTTTTGAATAACACACTTTACCACTGCATCTATTCAGACAAAGTTCAGTGCAAGGATACGAGGCACAGCAAACGGCTGAGCGAAGGCATGAAACGCACTCCCCCAAGCAATTTGCCACGGAGCGATGTAGACCAGGATGAAATGAAGCTTCAGCAGCAGCTCCCGCATCTGAACAGAAATAATAACCATGAGGAGATCCATAACAAAGTTGTTTCAGATACAAAACAGATTTTTTCATATTCTCTGATCTGCGTTGGCAAATATGACGGTCTTGTAAAGTCCTCTAATTTAGGGCTATACAAGTCTACATTGTCTACATTGAATTGAATCAAATTTTGTTCTCACTTTGTGGAAGACAATGGACATGATGAAGAAGTCTAAAAGGAAGCTCTCTGAGGCACGGGGACAGTCAAAGTGGAAAAACACCAGTGTGAAAAGAAGTGTGAGGAAATGAAAGCTGGGATCACAGAAAGATGAGCGAAGAAGTTTCAGCCCGGCAACTGTTGTCAAGAGGGCATCACAACTGAGGAGGAAAAAATAGTAAATTATAAATAATTTGACATTTTATTTTTATTTTATTCGCAGCAGACACTCAAGCATCGATAGTGCGTATCGGTCTTACTGTATTCCCAGCTTCTTCCGATGACTAAGAGCAAAACCATCATTGGTGAGAGCACTTAGTACGATGGCAGGATAGACCACATACTTTTCAAAGCACAGCAGTCCAACATAGAGCCGCTCAAACCACATCAACACTGCGTCCTCTGCAATGCAAACACAATCAGAAACTATATCAGTTCAAGCTGAGGTGCCTCACTATTTTTTGGTTTTTCCCAACATAAAGAGTCTTGTATAAATGTAAGCTAACTCAGACCAAAACATGCTTCCTTAGATTGGAGGTCTCTCTCTGGTCAGTGAGGCTAATCTCAATAAAACATTGCTAATTGTATGATTTATTCTTTGTTCTGTTTAAATTGTTAACTGTTGATTATTCCATAATCAAGGACAGTTTGTTCTGTGTGCGTCTGTGTCCTTGTTCAGTTGTATTTTATTGTGATATGAAAAGTCTGATTAAATTGAGTTTAGGGGTGGGGGTGCTCATAGGCTTTTTGCTTCAGCCCACTGAAGAATTAATGCTGTTTGAATGAATAAATAAATCAACAATGTATCAATGTATCATACTTTTCTGTCTGAAAAAGCTGATATAAATACATACATACAAACTAGTGATGAAACCAAACTGATTTAAGAGCAGGAAACTAGCTACATGGATTGTGCATTTAACTTTTGTTGTGTATTGAAAGTTAGAGACCCGAGCTTTAAATGAAAAATGTTCCATGATAAACAGTGTCCCACCTCTGGGTTCAAATTGATAGTACTCTTTGGTCTTCAGAACTGGATGAGAGATCCACAGCCATGGGTGATGCTTCCTGAGCTGAGGAATGAGATAGTGGGTGACAAAACCCACTGTCCCAGCCAGAGCATAGAGCACAATTGTGACAAAAGGCTGTGGAAGACGTAGCAAAAGAATGTCAACACATATCACATATCATACAAGTAAAAACAAGTAACGTGGTTCATACCTTCAGAGACAGAAACACTGTACTCGCTGTGAGGGCAAACGTGAGAATGTAGGCAACGGAGCAGACAACCAAGTCAGAGAGCAAAATATTTGTCTGAATGGGAAGAAAACAGTGAATCAGCGCTTTTACCCCAAAACACTACTGATAATCTTTACAAATTCATAAAACACTGCTAACAAACACTGAGCAAAAAACTGGCGTATTGCTCAGTGAAATCATAGAAGATTTGAGAAATATATAGTTTACTGTAGTTGTTTGATAGTGTGTAATTGCTCATCTAAAAATATAAAAAAGCACAAAAATAATGAAAGCTAATGCTCCTCATTGTCAAACACTTAGGAATCTTTTTTGATTTACTATAATCTTACCCTTTGCATTTTAATTGTTGCCTTGTTATGTCTTGGATTATAGAATCTTGACCAATGGAATTCTAAAGGCAAAAACTTAAACTCCTTGGCAGTATGCATCTTTAGAGTGCGTTGTTACCATTGAGTTTTGCAGTTTTTCCGGCAGCGGGTCTTTGATGTCAGCTCCTTCCTCCTCGTCCCCCTCCTCTTCCTCCTCTTCCTCAGTCTCCACTAGAGTTGGCATGAGCTTTGCCTTGACCAGAGACCTGTTATTACAACATAACCTTTTTAGCTGAGTCAAACAGAACAGTAGATGAGTGCTTACATGAGTACAGTAGGGTCACTGCTCTGGCGGCTGAGATGATAAGAAAAGACGACCAGAAGGCCACAGAAACTGGAAAACAGAGCAGGAGTGTGCTGCTCGTCCCAAGGTTCCTGCAACAACAAAACAAAAGATATTATAATTTATAATCAATGTGCACATCTCATTTAAATTCCCTTGAGAAGGCATTTTTCTTTACCTTGAGAGCACCGAAGCAGAACCCATAAAGAAGAAAAAGGGCTGTGAGACTGCGCAGAATGCTATAGACTGCAGATAGCAGACTTGTAGCAGCTGGAGAAGAAAAAGAACAACACAAGTGAGAATCTACTGCGTAAAGAACAGTTGCATGTTTAAAGCTGGGGTACCTTACTTTCGAAGCCCAAAAATGTACCCATATAATAAAATCCATCTAACTGTCTCCTCACTCTCAAAACAGTTTGGTTCCATCACTAGTTTCCACATGCATCTACTATTTGGTCTCTGTCACATCATTTTATCTGTTTTTATCTCTCTTACAACTAAAGACTCTTCACTCATTGTGTTGAAACAAATGTCATATTGTTATGGCAAGGCAAGGCAAGTTTATTTGTATAGCACAATTCATACACAAGGCAACTCAAAGTGCTGAACAAGATAGCATTAAAATCATAAATAATCACAGAACATTAAAAAGAAAGATAACCATATAAAATCCCTCAGTTGTATGCACAGCTAAACAGAACTGTTTTTAACCTGGTTTTAAACATTAGGGGTGTGACGATATATCGATTTTTTGATATATCGATACTTTCTCCCGCGATTCGATTATCGACATGCATTTGCCAAGTATCGATATCGATTTTTTTTTTTTACATTTTTTTTTTTAATTGGTATTAATACTTAATATATGGCTACATTACGCATCTCCATTCCATTTATCATGAAATAAAGGGTATTTTTTCTTTTATTTATGCCATAATTTGGCATATTGTATATTTCTGACCAATATATCAATAATCGTCATATTGTGATAAATCTTTATCGTCATATCGTTATCGTGATATTATCGTTATCGTGAGCTTTGTATCGTGTATCGTATCGTATCGTGAGGTACCCTTAGGTTCCCACCCCTAGTCAGAGAGGAGGCCTGTCTTTTTGTATTTTTTATCTACTTGTTTATTTGATTGGGACATAGCACAATATAAGTATTATTCAGACCGGACATACCTCCCAGCTCCTTTTCATCAGTGTGCAAAGAATTCATAATTAGAATGGCCACGTTAGCATTTAGAATACAGGTAAAATGTAGCACCCTGAACCACACAGAGACATAATACAAACAATTTACACACAATTATGTACTATCTGCTTATTTACTGCACACCTGATTATCTTTCAGCCAGGTCTTTAGCCTGACTTTAAACTGCCCCAGTGAGACAGATCGGTAAGTTCCAGGCCCCTGCTGCTTGACAGAGAAGCACATTAACCCTTTGGGGCATTTCACTTAGTTTTAGGGCACTTTTACCATCATACCACATCTCAACCATTTGGTAAAGGCCTATAATGTATAGTAAATGACATGTTATATTATTATTTGTGTTATTAGTGCTCCTACATCTGCTCAGATAATACAAAAAAGAAAAAAAATCACATTGCTTTCTTCAAGGAGTGAACATTAAAGGGTCAAAGCAGTTCTGGCTCAGTTCAGTCTCCTCTGGATGTGGCTCTGGTGGATCTGAGGCTAACCTCCTCACAATCATGTTCATTAACTCTGCATGCATTGCTGTAATTGTATACATTAAACATACATTTGTAACCTGAATGAATATCTAGAATGTTATATTTCCCAACGATTTGGCAATAATGATGTGACTAATATGTTTAGGTTGGTTTGTTTCAGCTCAGAGTCGATTGTATGGCTGAATCTAGAGCCAAAGATTGTTTTTAAATGTTAGGTATCCCAGTTTTAAACAACAGGAGTGCTGTAGTAAATGCATAAACAGGAGGATCAATGACCTGTGCCGCCAAAAAGGTGCATGTCAATCTGCTCCAACAGGTAGATAGTGAAAGTGTTGATCTGAGGGAAAAGGCCCACTAAGAACGTGATGGGGAAGCAGTATGTAAAACCTGTTTAGACACAAGACAAGCAGCAGATATCGTGTTACGTAACCAGATGTTTTGTCAAATCAAACAGCTCACATTTCCTCTTACCCACTAACATGTCCCGAACGAAGCTCAGAGCGTCATGGCAGGCGATAGTGACTCCATACAAATTAGAGATGGGCAGGTCTTTCATTATCAGCAGCTGCTCCAACACCCAGATCAGAGCGCAGAAGATGCAGAAGTAGGCCGCACGACTGTAAGCCACCAACTGATTGTGACCCTGCGGACAAAATGTTCCAGAAGGAAAAGGGACATGAGCGAGTTGAAAGAGCCATATGTGAAGTGGTTTATTCTGCAACACCATGCACAATAGTACAGATTAGGAGTGTGACGATATATCGATATGGTGATGAATCGTGATACTTTCTCACACAAACGATTATCGATATGCTTTTGCCAAGTATCGATTTAAAAATACAGTATATATATATATATATATATTTTTTTTTTTTTTTTTTTTTTTATTAGTATCAATAATTAATATGTGGCTACATTACGCATGATGTACTGTAATAATCTGCTTTGACCTGAACATATTGTTCTATGACCCAGATATTGCGAAAGAAACACATCTCCATCTATCAGCTGACCTTGCTGCCAACAGACCATATGTGCTGTATTTGAATCCAGAGTTGAGAATTAGTTAATAACACACACTTACACTTATAACTATTTCGTGTTTATTCAGATTGCTTTACTAAAGATTTCTATAACAGCATATTTCTGACCAATGTATTGATAATCGTCATATCATGATATAATCGTTATCGTGAGCTTTGTATCACGTATCGTATCGTGAGGTACACTGAGGTTCCCACCCCTAGTACAGATGTCTGGGTTTACATGTTCTCCTTGTGTCTATGTAGATTTTGCCTATCTCCATAATTATTCAGGTCAGGACTACAGGTGAAAACTGTCCTTGAGCTACTTCTAGTATTTAACGGTTTGTTTTCACAGTGTTCCATTCAAAAAAATACATACAATGAGTCGAGCTGGATCATGGAGAGGTGCGACAGACTTTCTTAAATTCCCCCATTTTCCTATGTTCATCATTCTCTTTTTTTTACCTTTTCCTACTTCTCCTGATCATTTTCCAAGGATGTTTTGCATGATTAAAATATCGTTTGGAAAGAAATGTTTACTTACAACTTACTTATAAAAACTTATGACTAAAACTTATAACTATAACTACTTTAGTTCTAACATATGTTTTTGTATGTTAAAAGGGAAGTATCAATGTTATAAGCCTTGGCTTCTGCCTATTCCTTTTTCAGACCTTATGTACTTTTTAAACTTTTTGCCTTGTGCCTGAAATTGTCAGAATCGTCTGGTGATTTTTTTGCACCAGAATAAAAACCTAATCAAACAGAAGAAAGTCAAGCCACTTCATGAGCTGTAATTTCAATGAGAGCTCAATCTTGAGAAAATAATCATTGTAAAATCAGTCATTGTAACGATATGCTCTAAAACGTAATAATACTCACATGTGTAGGGGAAGCTGCATCTGGTTGAACGCTCTAAAACAAAGACAGACGTTTTCAATAAATAATTTCAATATTTTATTGTTGAAATTTGTTTAAGTAATTTGGTTTACAAAAACTACTTTTCATTGGAAATTACCTTTAGTAGAGAATAATGACAGCTAGCAATAACCAGGCAGAACTGAAACACCCAGAAGTCCTTGAAGCAGCCATGATTGAGAAGAACAAACCCCAGAAAGGACACCAGAAATGCCATAAAGACTGCCACAAGATTCTCTAAGACCTCATGATTTCTGCATGAAGAAACACTGAAGTCAAATCATGAATAAATATTAAAACTAAAATCTAACTGCTCGACTGTATTTACATACCTGTCCAGCAGTGCCATCAAGGTCAAGCGGTCATAAAGGATATTGATCCTTTTACCAGGAAATAATCTTAGTTTATAATAAATTTTTTGTTTTGGCTTTTCTTGTGTGGATGCTTCTGATGATTCATCCAAAGAGTCTTCTTCCTGATTCAAAAACACAGAGGCTTTATTTATTTTCAACATTCTCAGCCAATTAAATAATGACATTCTATTGATGGAAGACACTAAATGACAATGGTAACCTGAAAGATCTCGGGGTGCGTCCGTCTGGGCCGCAGCCTGTGAGCCGGGATGATGCGTCGCTGGAAAGGACAGTCGGAGTGAGCCATCAGTCCGTCCTGACACTCAGAGTTGGAGGAAGTGGAAAGAAGATCACTGCAGATGCAGAGAAATACATAAGTAAGTCAACATAACCCTTTTATTTTGAAATGAAAGGAAGATAATACCACATATTTCCTGTTATGAGTTCAGCTCCAAGTGGCAAGTTTAGGGCTCTTTCTGCATATAGTTTACGTGGTCGATCTCCTAGTGGAATACAGGAAAAGGTTAGACAATAAAATTATGTCGCAATTGATTATATACTTTTTCTGTGATGTAAATCTAACCTACTACACAAAGCACCAGCAATGACTAAACCAGTCTGTGCGATTGTGTGTCTTTAATCAAGGGTCATTTTGCAACTGTTCTTATTAACTAAAACACTGTACACAGTACAGTAATATCCACTTACGGTGCACAGTGTGGAAGGTGTAGGCCTCCTCTTTGTTGGTGGCCTCTGGTCTGCAGATCACCTGCAGCATGGAGCTCTCCGACTGAGAGGTTTGTGAAGGCAACGAGTCATAATCAGGGTCTTTCTCAGTCTGCAGACTGAAGAGGAGTAACAGAGTGAACGGGAAGGTCATCAGGATATATATAAGATAAGATAAGATAAGATGTGCTTTATTTATCTCACAGAGGAGAAATTTACATGTCACATTTGGCATGGATAGAACACTCAGATTGTGCAAAAGGAGGAAATGTGCAAACATGTTACATGCAGGATATATGTACAATAAAAGTGACAAGTGGGAATATGTTGCAGTGCTATAGACCTGTCAGGGGAGACGATGGGGATGTGTGTGGGGGGTATGGCCTGTCGGGTGGGGAGACTGGATGGAGGTTTAGGCCTTTCTGTGTCGATGTTTGCACTGGTCTCTGTAACTGCTTCACCCAGAGGAGAGGTGTTACTTAGATGGTCTGTGGGTAAAACATCACACTTCAGTTTTTACTTCATTTAACATTTATCATCATTACTACATTACCTTCTGCAGCATCCTCTTCTTTTTTATCTTCTGATGCATCTTTCTCCTGTGAACTTTCTGCCCCCATGCGAATGTTTAATGACCCTATCAATGAAACAAACTCCAAAAAATTGGACTCATTGGGAAGCTGGCCTTCCTTGGCTTCCAGGTCAGATTTGGAACTTGTCATTGTTGTCTAAAAATTGGAGACATGTAAGTGACAAATCAAGTTTGGAAAGTCATTTAGTGCTACATTTTACTTAGTAAAGTACACAACAGTAACATACTGGATTGGTTCGATCGGACAGCAGCACCGCATCTTTTCCACTGTCCATGCTGAGCCCTCGGATGTGGGTCCTCCCTCCTGGTCCATAACGGCCCAGTGCAGGCGGGATGCGCAGAAACCCTCGCAGGTCTGTCTTGGCCTCCAATGGGTCTGTGTCGTCAGGATGAGAGTTCATGTCGATGCCAGAAGAGCTGTTGTTGTTGGTGACCTCCGGGCTGGGAGTGCTCTCTGAAGTCAGCTGCAGTCCCATGTTGTCAAGGCCTGCCTCCGCCTCCACAGTGGGGGGGTCAGAGCAGGCTGTTTCTCTGCAAAGGTGGAACTCTTCAGTAGGACTCATTTGCTGTTTGGGTGTGTCATTGTCCTCCTCATCCTCAAACTCCTTTGACTCTTCTCTTCCTTTGGCACTGTGTTGCTCCTCATCTGGGGTGTCAAAAGTGATGACGGGGATCGTGATGTGGCATTCTCCAGAATCTCTCTGTGCCTAAAAGTGTGCAAACAACAATCAATATCATTAGGCATAACACAAACACCAAGAGACATTTTTAGAAAGAATGATTTGTGTCTTATATTTACTGTACACTGCCAAAGGTGATGAAAAATAACAATTGCTCAAATTTGGCAAAAATGTATCTTAATTTGGATTGCCTTAAATCGAGATTTGCCTTTGAGACGAGACTAAAGGGAAAATATTGTTTTAAGATAGTCCAAATGTACTCAAAGTAAGATTTAAAAAAACACTCATTAAACACATATGATTTGTAGTGGAATTGGTTGTTGTCGTTGTGAACAATGAAATAATTGACGGAATAAACTCTCTTTCTAAACTACAAACTGCACTATTGAAGACTAAGTTTTCTTTGTTAAAAATGGGTTACTCAACATACAGTACACCCATGAAAATTTGAGTTATGTAATCAAATCCATGTAACTCTCAACTGGTTCTATCACTAGTTTTCATATGCGTGTATTTTTGGCCTCAGGCAAAAATTTCTGTCCGCTTTTTCAGACAGAAAAGTGAGAAATAAGCAACCACCCTTCACTCGACCAATCAGCACTCAGCCTTGAATAGTGACTCACTGGGCTCTTTCATACAAGTATTCAAAATTTGTTATCTGATGAGATGAAGACAGCATGTTTCTGATTTGTTTGCAACATTTTGCTTTTACAAGACTCTGTCAGTAAGGACAAAGAGCATGGATTGTTTTCAGAGAAGAAAAGGTTAGGTTCCCCAGCTTTAATATTTCTTGTTTGAGCTTCCTGTATTTCTACGGATAATTTTCCATTAAAACCATTAAACCATTGTGGGATGAATAATAATAATAACAATGGGTATCTTCAGATATGTTTAAGTGATGCTTTGACAATTGCATTTTTGACTGTGCCAAAAACAACTTCTTTGTTCACATTATTTTCACTTTGGAAACTGTTCATGAAAAAAACATTAACCTGTGCATTTTCCAGCAGGCTCTGCTTCACACTTTCCTCCAGCTGAGGGTCACATGACATGGTGATGATGATTTTGACTGTGTCGCTGTCGTCCAGGTGAGAGAAGACTGGGCCTGGCCTGGAGTTATCAACCAGAACCACTTCTATCTCATCTGAGCAGAAGGCCTCCTCCACTTCTTCAGACTAAGCATAGACAAAGGAAATAGAAACGCTTATTTGTGGTGAGAATGATGAGGTAAAGAGGGAGACGTACCTGTAATGGTAGTTCTGGTATGTCCACATACTCCTCGTCATGCTGCGAGCTCAGGACTGAGTTATTGTTTGCATCTGAGGAGTCTTTTTGTACCTGTTGCTCCTCCTCACTATCATCTCCACTTCCTTTAGAAGGCGGTAGGCCTTCATCAGCCGTTTCCTGGTCTGACGCCTCTTTACTGTCACAATCTTTATCTTTTTCAGAATCTGAGGATTTTGGCATTTCAGTTCTTGACATTTTTTTGTGAGAGCTCTGACTCTCCTCTTCTTTTTTCTGTGTTGTTTTAGATGTTTCTGGTCCTACATTTGCCCCAGAGGACTCTGCACACACCTCCTCCCTCTCCCCCTTGGATGAAGGTCTCTGCTGGGCCAGCAGCAGAGGAGCGGCCTGGTCAGGGTTGGGGCTAGACAGATCCTCAGGAAATGGCTCTGGACTCAGTTGTAAACCTACTGCCAAAGGCCTCTGCTCAGCAGTACTCAACACTTGTCCTGTTGTAGAAATGCATAATAATGAAGTACTTTTACCAAAGCCATGTTTTGAGTGCAACTCAACCCTCAAATTGTAGTTTATAATACTTTTATATATCTGTAATTAAGAAAATGGTGGAATGTACAAACCTTCAGCAGCTTTTATTTCACCTTTCAAGTCCTCCTGAGCAGAAGATAAAAGATCAAATTCATTTTCATTATTTTCTGTGTGTGCACTTATGATCTAATTTCAACTCACCATTCCTACCAGCCCTGGGTCTGTTTCTGTCTGTTTTATGGTCACTTGGATTACGGGACTTGTGCGTTTCCGGCCCAGCATGGACATGGGGACGCTGTCTGGCACAGTACTGCTCTTTCTGTCAAGATTTTCAAATCATGCATAGGTTTCATTAATGAGCTAATTTGTAAACTGTACAATTCATCACCACTAATCCAGTTTTTTGAGAAACTATTTCACTAATAGCTTAATCACTCTGCATACAGACTCCCAAACATTACTGTGAGATGTGATATCAAGACTCAAACAGAGCAGTGTTTACAAAAATAAAACAAGAAATCTACAGTATGCCTCAATGTAATGCCAAACTAGCCTGGTGTGGCGGCCCACATTAGTTTGGAGCCCTCCTATAAAAATGCAAGCCCTTTTCTGCGCTCTTCATGTTAGCGATGAGATATAAACCAGATCAAAGTTTATCCTGTGTCCTGCATCCTCCTGCGGGTTCATTTCAACGTCTTCTGGGTCAAATTAGAAACAATCACATATGAACAATAAATTGATGAATTGATTATCAAAAACAATCGCAGCCCTCTTATGGGCTGGAACTAAATGTGACTAAAATCAGAACCTTGAACAATATGGGTTAAAATCATGTAACTGTTGTAACCTTATATGATTGCATTGACCCTATGTATTAATAAATCCATGGGGACGCCACAGGTTCTTTAAAGAATGGATATGTCGAACTCCCCTGGTTTGTATCATGTGTGATAACATAATAAAGTATGTAGATATTACCTTGTACCAGCAGAACATGCATCTGAGGCATTACTCTTCTTGTCATGAGCTCTGCTTAGATCCGAGAGGCTGTTCCGGACCACTGCCTCGCCTTCATCAAACATCACATGTAGCCGATAGTTGGCCATCTTGATTAAGATGAAGAAAATGGTGACAGAGGAGCAGTATATGCTTAAAGCCATAGCTGTGGGAGGTAGTGCCTATAGGGTAAAAAAAGAGGTTGTAGTTTATAAAAAGTTAAAAGTCATAAGTGAACAAATCTTGGTTTGAAATTTCTGTACATAATTGGGAAGAGATCTTCCGAATTGGATAGTGATGAGAGGGCTACAAACACAACAATTGTCTGACTGTTGATGTAAATATTACAGTCTGAAGTAGCATGTATAGAATATATATACTACACATGCTACTTCAGACAGTGAGCTTGAGCATACTGTCATCTATTCAATGTTATCCAGTCTTTGATGGAAGCTTCTACTCAGCTCATCATAGCTAGCCGGTGATAAAGACCGATAGCCTTTCGGAACACTAGCAAACCCTTGTTATACACAAACAGAGCCATACAGACAGGGGCAGCCATGCGTTCTCTCCCCGCATGCGGAAACGCTGCGACATTGTCCATTTTTTTTGCCCTGTTCTTCTTTGGAGCAAGAAAACAATCACTTTGTTTTTATGAACATCATTGGAGGCATGGGAAACGCATGACTCTGTTCCATTTGCGGCCATAACGGCCTTGAACGTGATGTTTTACTCACCAGATGGAGGGACAAAGGTAGCATTAGGAGAAAAATCCACAAATAAAGGTGACACGAGTTGTTGAATTTGTTCTGATCCGGATCATGGTACCAGCCACCCGTCAGAGATGCCCAGACCCCCTGGCGCAGAGTCTGTAGAACCTGGGAGCCCATGTCTCCCTCGCTCTCCTCCTCCTCCCCGCTCAGGTTGGACGGATGAATGATGCTGCTGCTGTTTGGCTACAATAAAATACTGTTTATGGCGCGCAGCTGACGCTACGCCTCCATGTCGGAGCGATGCAGCTCGTCTCCTTGTCTTTCATCATGGCGTAGAGCTCGTCCTCCGCGTCGTCCAAAAGCCTGTCTTCCACCGTTCTTCCGCAGCAGCTCTCTCCCTCATCTTGTCCTGTTCACCTCTCTGCCTCCACCAGCCTGTGGTGCGTCTCTGCGCAGCAGTCACAGCGTCCTTCCCACGTTCTTCGCCCCCTCCCCCCTTGTGATGTCAAATTTCCTCGAAATGTCAAATAATCATTTAGTAGTGTAGTAGTAATAGTAATAATAATAATAATAATGATCATAATCATAATAATGACAATAATAATAATAAACAACAACAATAATAATTATTATAATTATTACAATTATAATAATAAATAACAATAATAATAGCAACACAGAAAAGTGTGTGTGTGTGTGCTGTCCAGTGTGGTGTATATGATGTCCAGTCTGTATGTGTGGGTATAGTGTGTTAGGTGCCCCGTGTGGTGTCCAGTCAATCAATCAATCAATCAATTTTTATTTATGAAGCGCTTTTCATACAAAAGATGCAACACAAAGTGCTTTACAGTTTGGTTAAAAACAATCCCGCCGACCCATGTCCCCTCCCCCCGACCACCCAACAGACCCATCCCAAACCACAGACAAACGCACACACGCTCCCATGCACACTCTCTGACACACACACACACACACACACACACACACACACACACACACACACACACACACACACACACACAAGTAAAACAGTAAAACAATGATGAGAGACTTGGCAGGGTTCGGATGCAACCAGTAGAAAAAGCGTCATCCTAGGAGCCGTCTGCACCAGGAGCAGAGAGCCGCCTGTAGCCACAGGGGACGACACAGGATCTAGAGGAGACCCGAAACCGAGGCCCCAGGCCCCCACCAGGTCCAAGAGTCTGACCCCCACAGCCACACCGACCACTGCTCCCAGTGCAGAGGGCTCCTCCAGAGGAAACACTGGGTACACTAAAAACAATATAATAACAATACAATATGTAAAACACAAAACTGTGAAACTAAAATGAAACTAAAATGAACTAACACACAATACATGAATAAAAGCAATAGCAATACAATAAATAATAGAGGATAAATAGAATATATAAAATGAAATAGTAAAAACTAATCAAAAGCTAATCTAAAAAGGTGCGTCTTGAGCCTGCTTTTAAAAATATGAACGTTCTCTGCGGCCCTGAGTTCCTCCGGCAGACTGTTCCAGAGACGGGGGCCGTAGTGCTGGAAAGATGCCTCGCCGTGAGTGTGTGTCCTGACTTTGGGGATGGTTAGAAGTCTGCTGCCGGAGGAGCGCAGGGGCCGGGAAGGTTCATAGGATAAAAGCAAATCTGAAAGATAAGAAGGCCCAAGACCATTAAGACATTTGAAAACCATTAGGAGAACCTTAAAATCGATCCTGAAACACACGGGGAGCCAATGCAGCGATTTTAAAACCGGTGTAATGTGGTCCCGCCCCCTGGTCTTAGTCAGGACACGTGCGGCCGAGTTTTGGAGTAATTGTAAACCTGAAATGTTCTTTTTGGGAAGACCAGAGAGCAGGGCATTACAGTAGTCAATGCGACTGGTGATAAAAGCATGCATCAGCGTCTCCGTGTTGCCCCGAGAGAGAATGGGGCGGACTCTGGCGATGTTCTTTAGATGATAAAAACCTATTTTTGTGATGTTCTTGATGTGAGGAATAAAAGTCAGCAGCAGAGTCAAAGATTATGCCCAGGTTTCTCACTTGTGATGATGGATTAAAAGAGTGTGATTGGAGTTTTGATAAAAGTTTCTCTCTCTGGGCCTCAGGACCGATGACTAAAACCTCAGTTTTGTCCTGGTTGAGCTGGAGAAAGTTTTCTGCCATCCAGGATTTCAGGTCTAAAATGCAGTTAAAAAGAGCATCCATTGGCCTGGTGTCGTCAGGAGACATGGAGATGTACAGCTGAGTATCATCTGCATAACTGTGGAAGTTAATTCCATGTCTCCTGACGACACCGCCAAGAGGGAGCATGTACAGGTTAAAAAGGACTGGACCTAAAATGGAACCCTGGGGCAGTGTCCAGTTTGTGCGTGCGTGTGTGTGTGTGTGTGTGTGTGTGTGTGTGTGTGTGTGTGTGTGTGTGTGTGTGTGTGTGTGTGTGTGTGTGTGTGTGTGTGTGTGTGTGTGTGTGTGTGTGTGTGTGTGTGTATACTCAATCAGGTCAACGGCTTTTTTGCTAAGAAATATTTTTATTTAAATCGGGGAGATTTTGCGGTAAATCCCAAATTTTGCGGACATCAGCGGTGAGAGAAACCCTGGACTTTCTTTTCCGTTTTCTCAAGAAATAAAAGGCAACGTATCCAAAGTCATTCCATTTTTTAGTTACTCCCCACAAATTTGATAAGCAAATTTCATAATAACGTAGACGTACATAACCGGACCACTATGGCTGACTCAAAAGTTGACCTGATAGAGCAAAATGCATGTGTATTCGACTCAGAACACCAAATTAGACTCATCAAAATCCAGTGAGAAACCCCGACCATTTTTGGCTGTCAACTTGTGTAGTCATTCAAGAATGACTCAAGTTCATTGGTTAAGGATAACAAATTAAATGAATACTATATATGAAAACTCAAAAGTAAATTTAGACAGTACTGTATATTGCCTATTCTCCTTACAGTAAAATTTTGAGACATTTTACTCCGAATGACAAAGTAGAGGGAAGTTGTCTCCTGTTTGGGGTTATTAATTGGGTCATGTTGAATACTTAGTCTACTCGGTGAGACAGTGTACCTTTTGGTTGCGCTGCGATTCATCGAATCCAAACACAAACCCAACAAGAATAAGCTTTTCACTGTAGCGTCAATAGCAGATGTATTTGAACACCAAACCCCAAAAGCTGTATATCATTTTTAAAGCTATTTTCTTATCTACATTTAAACAAGAGTTAAACTACATCCGACCTTTGCATTCAAAAGATATAACGAATAATGTGGGCACAAAATAAATCAATTCCGGAAATAGTTTTTACCTTTGGGGCTTGGTGCTGTACAAATAAAGAGCTCTCCTCCCAGCCTTGCATACATCATTCTCTCTGGAACAGTCCAAAGGAAAATTATACCACTTGTATTTCCCAAAGTAAAATCCATTCTGCAGAAATAATCCAAAAATGTGCATTTATCTTTAGCGAAAAAAAACAAAAAAAAAGAGCCACAGATGTTACGCTATTCACTTTTTAACGGACGTTTAGCTTTGTTTTTTCACCCAAACATCTGGTATCTACGTGAGTTCCTTAGCTCCCTTTATCTTTCAAATAGACTACTCCCGAAAAGGCAGACCAATTTTTGGGTCGCAAGAGGCTCCCGTAAGTAACAGCTAGTGCTGCTGTTTTGCGCATGGATCACTGGATCTTTGTTGTAATCCCAACTTGTTTGCTTTTTACTTCCGGGATTTACGATTGACATTCCGTGTACCAATGAGGAACGCTTATCGGAACCAGGGGTGGGACAATGGTGTCCTGTCTTATGTGTCCTGTAGAATTGTCGTAATGTGAAGCCAAAAGACGCTCCTCGAAGCTGGCAATGAATTTACACTCATAAAAAAATAACTTTGCATTTAAAAAAAGGAAAATACACATAGATTAGTAACTTATAAGTACCAATAATAAAAAATATTGTTTTTAATGATGATTTATATGTAAGTAATGTGCCAATGTCACTACGGATGAAAAGGAGAACTGCTAAAAACTAAATAAAACGTAGAATCTAAACTTTAGACAGTTGTTGCAACAACACAATGAACAGAGGGGTTGGAATAATTGAGCTTACACAAGAAGGTATGGCCTTTTTTAGGCCTTTCGAATTGAAAATGTTAGGCGAGGCTAAAATAATTGGGATTTATTTCCCTAACTTCCACAGGATCCGAGGAAAATAGGAAATGACACACATTATTTAGTGGTTTTTTACATAAACTAGAAGGCTCTACTTTAAAATGATGCATCACACAACATGTGAGATGTCAGATGTGTTTATAAATAAACAAAGACATTTGGGTATGGACCCAACTTTTGTGCACAAGCCAAATCGAGGCGGTTATTTAAGAGGGTTCACGGAGTTCGCCATAGACACAGACAGGGAGTATTGTCGTTGCCACGCAACAGGGTAAAAATAACAATAGGTTGTCATTGACTTTTATTGAATCCAGATGACAAAACGAATTATGTGCAAAATTACAAACATTTTGAAAAAAACTAAATTTCAAAAAGCCTATGTAAAACTTTAACATTGTCTGTAGGTGGCGCTAATGAGCCAAATTTCAATATATTCAACTTTCAATTTGGACTGATGTAACAGCAGCTCCTTTAGGCTGTTTCTTACGTTAAACTGGAAAGAGAAGCCGCGGGAATGAGACGCCAAAACGCACATTTTAAAGGTTTGTGACTAGATTCACAGCACACTGTTCACTGTGATGCCCTCTACAAGTGCCAAATATATTTTTGCCTGGGGCGCCTGATGACCTAGGGCTGGGTCATGGAGATGAAATTTCACGTGGGCTACCCAGATAAAAGTCCCATTGAACTCAATAAACCAAAACAGCTCGACCTCAGCTGACAGAGACTACAGCTTTCATCACAAGGAGGTCGGATTTTTGTGGGGATTTTAGTGTCCCTTGTCATCCTGAACTTTTTTTCGTCCTAAATCCTTTGGTTTTCTTTAAATCCACACTTTACTGCCACAATCTCTGCTCGTTTCCTTCCTGTTCTGACTCCCTTCTGCTCAAATCCAGCAGCTCTGATTGGTCAGAGTGCAGCCGAGCCCCTCTGTGCACATGAGTGCCACAAACTATTGGGGCTTGATGCTCGTCCACTCCGCAGAACCGGGAGGACCAGACCATGCCCAAATAAGAGGGGCGAGTTCAGCTAACTCTCGGCCCCTGTGCACCTCCTGAATAGGGCGCCATCTTGGATCACCGGGGCTTGGTGGCGTGCAAGCAGAGCGACCGGAGCCAGGCAGCATACAAGTGTTTTTTGTCGGTGTCCTTTAGCCACAAAATAAAGTTCGACTCTTGGCTAACAGGGTGAAGTGTTATTGGTACAGCACCACACTGTGACAGCGAGGGTCGAAACAGAAGCGAGTTATACCCCATACCCTCACATGAAAATGGTAACACAAGCATGGGATAATGCGAAAGTATGCAACTGCTGTAGAGACGTGTGTGAAAATGTATGTCACAGCGGGCGCAGCAGGAAGACATAATTCAACTTTCATTACAGCACACCAAAACACACATGAAATGCAAGATTTGGACAACAATTACCATATTCACACTTATTATAATAGCTTATAATATATATACAATATAATATGTTTTTCCTCATTCACATCTGGTAAAGCAATGTATTTTTTCATTAGATTTGTGTAAGCCTCACACAGACACACACACCCCATAAATGCACCGATGGACTATGGTATTGCTCAGTCCAAATGTCTCACTGCCCTGTCCACATGCAGCAGTTTATAGACAGGATGGCAACGCGCGTATCTCTGGCAGTGCACGCGGTGCCATGAGGGGTCGCGCCGCATAACTCCTCAAATGCTCGGTCATTCAGAATTTTGGATCTCCAGAGTATCTCAGTGAAATCCTGGACCAAAACTTCACAAAAAGCTTCTCATCCTTTCTCTCACATAGATCGCTCCATTGCATTCTCAAGTAGGGGTGGGAAACCTAAGGGTACCTCACGATACTATACGATACACGATACAAAGCTCACGAAAAAAAAACAATAACGATATTTATTACGATAACAATATTATCACGATAACGATTTTACAATACATTATACATTTACATTTTACAATATGCCGAATTTATAGCATAAATAAAAGAAAAAATACACTTTACGCATCTCCATTCCATTTATCATGAAATAATGTAGCCATATATTAAGTATTGATACAATTCAAAAAAAGAGAAAGATATATTGATATCGATACTCTGCGAATGCATAACGATAATCGAATCGCGGGAGAAAGTATTGCGATATATCAAAAAATCGACATCGTCACACCCCTATTCACAAGATGCATTCATCTTTCAGTTAATGATGAGAGCCACCGCTGAGGCTAATAATATTTATGAATTAATTAATGAATTCATTAATTATTTATTTATTTACTTCTACAATTCAAGTGAGATTTTTGTTATGTATCACAAAAAGTTTTGCAAATTTGTTCAAAGGAAAAGCAGCTGAATATAGCGTATATTTATTTTTACATGAACAAACAAACGGGCCTTTTGGGGCTTCCAAACAGTGTTATTTCATTTTTTTTGGCCGACTTCGCGTGCTGAACTGTCGCAAAAACAGGGCGTGAGTCCAGGCAGTTTATGAATATTTCTAGGCGTGACTTTCATAAATACGCTAGTTTTGGGCGTGTCATTTATCAACAGCCGCAGGTGCGTACGCTCAGATATGTGCAGATCTCACACGTTCATTAATGCTGCGTTGACTCGTGCGTATTTGGAATATACACCCTTTTCTGCGCAACTTTCATAAATGAGGGCCAATGTGACGTACAGTGGGTTGTTGCGCTCATTTATGAAACTTGCGTACAGCCAAATCAGAGTGTAAATGAGGCGTACGCAAAAAATTTACACTTTTCTGCATTTATCAATCTGTACTGTGTGCGTACGGTACGCACAAAATATACGCCAAGTCTGGAGGTAAATACAGTATACGCTCATTTCAACCTTCATCACAACACGCCTAAACACGCATGAAATTCCAGATATTTGGACAACAATAAACATATTCCCACTCTGGTAAAATTATAAAATGCATTTTCATTAAGAATCACATTTCGAAATTTGAATTTGCGCATCAGAAAAAAGTCTAATGGAAACACGCAAGCATTAGGACCCTCTTCTGTTTCTTTGGTTTTTTTAAATCTGACTTGTGTGTACAGTATTTTCATCTGTATGTCATTTAAATGTGAAGTGCTTTGTGAATCCTAGTCTGTTAAAGGTGCTATACAAATATACTTGAGTGACTAACTCCGTAAATCTGTGGCAGGCTGCGCTGCGTGATTACACATTTGTTTTTCCTCTTTCACCCCTGGCAAAGCAATGTGTTTTTTCCTTAGTTTTGTGCATAAAGCCTCATAAACACAGCCATGGTCTCAAAACCTTCTCAGCCACTGCCCTGTTCTCCGCATGTAGAAGTTTATAGATAGGATGCAACGCACGTCTGTGGGAACAGGCTCACGGGCAGTGGCTCTGGGCAGGAGGTGCCAGGAGAGGTCCCACCGCATCAATGCTCAAATCCAAAGATTCTCTGTGAAATCAATTGTGAAAAAAATTTTC